TTACACTAAAATAAACTAATAATTATTAATATAATAATAATAATAAAAAAAATTCACTTAATAGAGAGAAATATGTTTTTCATTTACTTAACTTGTAGTCAATGTTTTTTTTGTGTTTGTTTTATTGTAATAAAAATAAAAATTATGATAAAATATTTATTGATAATAATAGTATTAATTAATTATTATTATTACTAATAATAATACTAATAATCAGGTAATGGTATTATTACATAACAGTTAATACACGATAAGTTTAAAGTGGTTTCACATATTATATATATATATATAATAAAAATTATATTAAAAAAATTAACTGTATTTATTAGATTGGATTTTTTTCTAGTGACAATATTTATTATACAATTTAATATATAATAATAATATTAAATAATTTTTTTTACAAATTTTATATAATAAAAATACTAAAACAATTTAATATTATATTAATAATTTCATACAATCTAGGTAATATTTATACTGTATAATATACAAAAAATACTGTATATATATATATATGATATAATTATGTCATAAATTATATATATATATATAAATAATCTAATCAAATACAACAACAAAAAATGTTTTATTTAAGTATTGCATATATAAATAATAAATAAATTCATTACTTAATTAATTAAAATCAAAGTTCATGTATTATATCGTATATATAATAAAATGTCGCTTTTCTTAAAACATAACAAAAATATTATTAATAATAATAATAGTCTAATTTTAAAAAATAATAATAATATTATAAACTTAACCTACAAAAATAGTAATAATAATAATATTAAATAATTTTTTTAAATAATAATAATATATAAATAGCTAGTACATTTCATATGGCATTATACAATTGCATTTACAAAAATATAAATATATCCACATAATTTTTTTTAATCATATAAAGATTTTTGTTAAAAAAATAATATATATATATATATATATATTATTTTTAACTTGTTATTATTATTTACAATAATAATAATAATAATAATAATAACATTTTTAAATACTAGCCGGTCTACAGATATAGGGTAGTCGGACGCCCAATAAAAAGTGCAATATTGCCGTAGCTATTGTACAAACCAATTGTATGCCGGCATTAGGATTCAACATTGGACGGCCATAATAATTATCTTTATATTTATGACTGGCTAGATAAACAAAATTATAAAAAAATAAATTATATTAATATATTAATTAAAATAAAAATTTTTGTTGTTGTTGTTTTTGATTATAATTATTAAATATATTTAAAAAACTTAAAATATCATAGAATAAAAAAACTAATAAATAACAAATACATTATGTATATGCTTATAATTTTAATTATTTTTTTAAAAAAATAAAAATATAGGTTTGCATAATTTATATATATATAAATTAATTAATTAATTAAATAATTAAAATTAAATAAATTAATAATTTAAAAAAAATATAAATAAATATTTTACTATTATAGACGATAATGGCCGCCAACCATATGATAGCCATTATAATATTGGCCACAAACGAGCCAATCATAAACATTTCCTGCTTAAATGAGCATGATACTAATGTATAGATGGATACAATCAATGCCAATATGACAAACGCAAATGTCATCTGGTTACTTTTTACTAAATAATCATCTAGTATAAATATAAAAAAGTACAGGGATAGGCCGCCAATACAGCCGTTCAATATGTTAATAATTTTTAGGCATAGATCAACATAGCGTGTCTCCATTGTTGTTGATGTTGTTGATGATGACTACACACCCGTCACAATATAATCAATAAAAATAATTATTTAAAATAATTTTTTTTAAATAGATAGTATAGCACTTGATTTAATTTGAACAATTTTAATAATTATAATAATAATTTTTTAAGTGATTTAAATAAATGTAATATATTTTTTCAATTAGTTTTCTAAAGTTGTTAAAAATATTAACAATTGGTTTGATTATTTGTTTGTTGTTTGTTTTATTTACACTAAAATAAACTAATAATTAATAATAATAATAATAATAAAAATTTCACTTAATAGAGAAATAAGTTTTTTATTTTACTTAACTTGTAGTCAATGATTTTTTGTGTTGGTTTTATTGTAATAAAAATAAAAATTATGATAAAATATTTAGTGATAATAATAGTATTAATTAATTATTATTATTACTAATAATAATCAGGTAATGGCATTATTACATACCAGTTAATACACGATAAGTTTAAAGTGGTTTCACATATTTAACAAAAAAATATATATATATAATAAAAAAAATATATTTAAAAAAATAACTGTATTTATTAGATTGGATTTTTTTCTAGTGGCAATATTTATTATACAATTTAATATACAATAATAATAATAATAATATAATGTACAATATTTTTTTATTTTATAGATAATATTAATATATGRTGTCAATGGCAATAAAGTAATTTTTGTTATCATCAATATTATTTATATCATACAAATAAAAAAATTTTTGTAATATAAATTATATATATATATATATATATATATTTATATATAAAATGGCTGTTTAGTTGCATAGATACTATCCATACACCTAAATAGTATACCTGTATAAAAAAAATATATCAATTGAAATTAAAGGTTATTATTATTATGATTATTATTTTATTTAAGAGAAAACAAATACAGTATATATACAGTATATTCAATATATTGTTAAAATACACAGTAATATTGATGATATACACTATAATCTAAAGTTATAGAGAAAAATATTTTAGTTATAATTTTTTTTTTGAATTGCAACTCATGCTAACTGTTAGTTTTTAAATTATAACAAATAGTAGTAGTAGTAGTAGTAGTAGTAGTAGTAGTAGTAATAATATTGTATTAAAATAATATAAATAATAACTTATTAATATTAATGATCATACAATTGTTATTTTTTTATTTGAAATTAATTTACAATAAATAACATAATAAATAAATTTTTATAAGTTATTTTAGAAATTATTTAAAAAAACTCAAATAATTAAATTATAAAACAATTGTTTTGGTATTTAATTTATTAGTAATTTTTTAAAAAAAAACTAAATAGTATGGATAAAACTAATATAAAATATTTTTTAATAATAGATATTATTTATATGTTGTAATATTGTTTATAATGTAAATTTATAACTACAACAAAATAATTTAAATTTAAGAGTTTAATTTAATAATAGTCATTAAGTATATATGTATTTAATTATTTCTATTATTATAAAAAAACTTGTAACAAATTAATTAAAATAAAAACATAAATGTTTTTTTTTAAATATTTTATTAAATAACTTAAACTAATAGTAGTGTATAACTCTCATTAGATTTATTTTTATAAAAATAATTATTTAAAAAAAAATTAAACTATAAATTAGCATTAACTACTACATTATATTTATGATATATTATAAATATCATATTAAAAATATTTTTAATGGTTTTTTTATATAATGTAATATACAGTAATATTTATGGATTATGGAAATTATAGATAATTTATATATATAAAAAATATTATTTGAAAATAAAATCTAATATCTGTTTCATTGAGAAATATGATTAAAAAATATGATGAGTTTTACAAATTTAACTTTCAGTCAAAATAAAAAACCAAAAAAAACATATCAAATTTCATTTTAATAATAAAATAATTTTTTTTGTTGATTATTTTGTCTCAAATTATTTTCTAGATTTATACATATTTATAAAACAAATTTAAATATATTATTATTATTATTAATTAATTAATTAAGTCTAGAAAAATAATCTATAAATAACAAATAAAATACAAATTATTTTGTAATTTTATTTGTATTTATTTTGTAATCATTTTTTTTGAATGAAAAATAATGATACAAACGCTTAGACCGATTGAAATCAGAGAACCGGAAAAGTCGTTTAAGTCTAGACTAAAACACTGTCTGTATATGTTTGGCCTACCGGTGCTCGTACTGTCCATAGTTATTATCATAATTGTTTGCCATCAAAAACAATTGGCTACTACTACTAGTAGTAGTAGTAGTACCGGTAGTACCGATAAACAAAGTCTACTGGACGGACATCCCGATCCTATCGGCAATCTATCGCTTCTATGGACAGCACCGGTGTTTAACAGCAGCAGCAATGATGATGATGTGTTGGATGATTACTATCATACCGGTGCTACTGATGGCCTACAAGTGCCCAATGATCATCACCAACACCAATGGTTGGCCACAGTTGTCGTCAATCGGGCAATGATCGACACCCGCAGTCACTGGCCTCGAATCGGCTCAACTAATATCTATGTTAGCGCAGCCATCGATGGCCAAACACTAAGTCGGACACCCGATATATGGAACTCTCTGTGGCCAGTCTGGGACTACACGGTGGCCACTGGTATCAAAGTTACCGGCGATAGTGTCCTAGAGTTGACTATCTATAAGATCATACCCTATAAGGCTAAAGAAATGGCTTATATTTATCAGAATTTTTCGCAATTGATAGCCGACAACAATATCGACATCGACTCTGTTATCAATGGCCAGACCCGTACGGTACCGTTCATTGGCGGCCAACTTCGGTATACAGTTTGGCTCAATACTACTGATGTTTAATTCAAAAAAAAAATTGTTGTTTCAAATCACTTGTTTAGCTTTTTTGTTTTGTTTATTTGTTTATCAATTATATAATAAAAAATTAATAAATAATCAATAGTTTAATTGTATTAAAATTAATTAAAAAAATTATATTATAATTAAATTAAAAATTAATATATTAAAACTGAACAAAAATTAATATATTTTAATCAATAAATTTAATTTTGTTAAACAATTTTTATTAACTAATATATAATACTTACTACGTATACATAAACTGTATATAATATAAATATTATAATATATCATAAATATAAATAAATAATTAATATAAAAATAATTCATATACTAAATAATATTTTTTAACAAAAAATAACTACAAAGTTATATATAATATGGTTTTTAAATCTAAATTAAATTAAACGATTGCTTATCCAATAGACACGGTTTATGAAATACTTGTTCCGTATAGTTGATCCATTTGGTGGCAATCCATTTGGCCGGGCCTACCAGCACCGGGCATCCATTGTGCAACATATCCCAGTCGACTAACCCCGAACTCCGGAGATTATACCAGAACAATGCCGATCCCTGTTTGGGCTCAACCCTTAGATTCAATCGGGGAAAAACAGTAGCACCGCCTGCTTGGACATCGCTCAGGTAGCTGATCCATGTGGCCATACGATTGACAGGCAGTCCATACTGTTCACTATAGTATGGTTTAACTACATTCACGTCGTAATGATTTCTATAGTATCCGCCGACGCCATACTTGATTACATTGAACTGTTCCGACCCATTGATGTTAACACCAGTTATAGCACCGATACGTCTACTGATTCGTTCAACTATTGGATGAATCCTATCACTTATCCAACATCCCTGAGCTAAACGTATATCCGAAACAATACCTGTTTTTCTATTATTATTAGCTATCATTAATCTAGATAACTGTGCCCGGGCTAACAGTTTCAGTACAGCTAATTCAATGGGACCGAGTATGTCGTGAAACATTACTATCCCGGGTTTGTCATACAATTGTTCGACTTTCACACGGGTTAGCCGTAGTAACGGCCGGTTAGTTGTATCCAAATAACGACACGTCAATCGCGACTCCCTTACTGTCCGATTCATATGTTTGTTGTCGACTACTAGTCCGCGACATAATTGTTGCGATTGAACGTCCAATTGATTGTAATGTTGTTGTCGTGTTTCCGACAATTGATTGGTTAATGTTTTGTTTGATAAGCTATTTGCTGTCGATTTGTTGTCTTTAAGGTAATTATTGATTTTATTTTCAAACTTAAAATATAATTAAAAAAAGTTATTATTTTTTCTTCAATCATCTGTACTTAACTCTACAAAAAAAAACTTACGATTAAGTCAACAAACAATTGATTAAACAGTATATCTGTATCGCTCGGGTAGTCGACTAATTCATTGGATTTATTCATATAGTGAACACTTTGATTATAATCTCCCAGTCTATAGTAGGCCAGTGCCATATATTTAGCAACTTTCGACTCAAACAACTTATCTGACATTATGTTGACATTATATATCTGTTTGTTGGTCTCATTGAACCATTGAATGGCATTTTGATAGTCACCCGCAATAAACGTTTGTTTTCCAATCAGATAACAGTCGGCAGCCGTTAGCCGGTGTGTGTCATCTGACGGCTGGATTGTCATCACTCGGCCATCCGATACTGACCAGAACCGTACCGAACCGTTTGCTAGCGACTGTATGTCCAATTGGTAAGTATTTACCAAATTTTGTAAACCTTTAGCCGCTTCAGTCAATTCATTGTTTTCAATTGGATTCACTCGTAACCGGAGCTTATTGTGTGTCGGCTGATCCAATAGTTTGTCTACTTGTGGCCATTCAGTGGCCAGTCGTTTGATAAGCAGATATATGTTTATCGGATGTGATAGATATGCATCACTATCATTGACTGCCAATTGATTGTATTGTTTTAGTCCATCAATTGTTGACTTTAACTGTGAAAGTCTATGTTCTTCATCAGTGATATATTTCTCAACAGTTTGTATCCATTGACTCTCCTCTATGATAGTTGACTCTAGTTTTGTAAAGTTTATATTAAAACATTGTATAAAATTTAATAATAATAATAATACAAATATAAATAAATAATAAACAAAATTAGTCATTTTTTAAATTTTTTTAAAATATACTATATTACTTGAATAACTTAATTAATTAAAAATTTTAATATAATATTTTTTATTTAAATATATAATAAAATCAATACAAGATATTACTATTACTAAAAAAATTACAATATATTAGGATTTATTTTAATGCTATTCATGATAGCTGTTTTTTTTATAAAAATAAATATTATAAATAATTGTAATTTTTATACTAATGTTAATTAAAATAATATAAATAATAAATCTTTAAAAAATAAATTATGAAACAATTGTTTGGTATTTATTTTATTAGTAAAAATATATGAAATTTTAAATTAATATTTGAAAATAAAATATATTATCATTTATATATATATATATACAGTATATTTCATAAAATCTCGGCTTTTTTTAACTGCTCATAAAAATCGGTAAATAAATCACAGGAACAAAAATAATTTTTAAAATTAATAAATAAGTATATAATAATTAATAATATGTATAATTAATTAAAAAAATTTAACTGTAAGCCCGCCATTCGGGTAAATAATTTCGGTTATTTTAGCGATGGTGGGGGCAATAGCAGTGATTTATGTGTAGAGCACATACACTACCCCTATTTTTTTCGGTTGGCATGTTTTCGGGCGGACTTTCAATGGTCGCGCTCACTATTAGGAATGGTGTGCTTAATATCATTGGAAAGTGTATATAAAAACCTTTCCAATGATATATATCAACCCTTTCTATATTTTTTATATTTAAAGTTATACCACTTTTAGTGGTAGTAGTAAATAGCCGAGATTTTATGCAATATACTGTATATTATCATATATTGATAAATATTGAAAAACAACTTAACTTAAAAAAAGTTTTTAAAAACAAAAATCAAATTTCATTGATAATAAATATCTGTATTTTCTTTTAATTATTTGTCTATTTTTTTAGATTTTTGTTTAATTACTATTTGATGAATATATATATATTTTTTAATTAAATAATTTATAAGTAAAAAATACAAAATCAATTTAATTAGGACTAGACTTAAACATTGTCTCTATACACTTGTTTGGCATACCGGTGCTCATAGTGTCTATAGTTATTGTAATTAGTACTGTATTATTGTTGTCACTGTTACCGCACTACTACCGCAATATTGGTTTTATTCGCAATACTGTTGGAGGGGGGTTCTAGAGTGGGGGTGTAAACTGTATTAATATTTATATACCCGTATAATATCAATATATTATCAATTCAATATTTATTTATTTTTATTATTTTTTTTGTAATTTACAAATAATTCAATAAATGTCTATCTAATAGACATGGCTTATGTAACTGTTGAACAGAAAACGGTATCCATTTGGTGGCAATCCATTTGGGTGGGCCGGCCAGCACCGGGCATCCACTATGCTGTGTATCCCAATCGACTAAACCGGAACTTTTCAGATTAAACCAGAACACTGCCGATCCTTTACGGGGCTCTACCCGGACATCCAATCGGGGGAAAACAGTAGCACCGCTTGCCTGTACATCGCTCAGGTATGTAATCCATGTGGCTATACGATCGTATGGCAGACCGTACTGTTCGACAGTGACCGGTCTGAAAACTGACACATCGTAATGATTTACATAATACCCGCCGACGCCATACTTGATTACATTATACGGTTCGGCGTCATACATGTTAACACCAGTGACGGCACCGATACGCCGACTGAATCGATCGACCACTTCATGATCAAAATCATCTAACCAACTGCCCTCAGCTAACCGTCCGCCGTAAATATCAAGTTTTGAATTAGAAAATATCATTAATCTGGCCATTTGTCTGCTGGCCAACTGTTTCATTAAATCTATTTCCCGGTCACTGATTATGTCGTGAAATACGACTATCTCTGGTTTGTCATACAATTGTTCGACTTTCACACGGGTTAGCCGTAGTAACGACCGATTAGTTGTATCCAAATAACGACACCGCAATCGGGACTCCACTGACCGATTCATACGTTTTACTCCGCGACACAATTGTTGAGATATTTTTAAAAATTTTGTAACATTTTTATAAAAATTATCGGATGTTTGTTGTTGTTGTGGTGTTTCCGACAATTGATTGGATGTTTTGTTGTTCAATAAATTGCTATTTGTTTTGACGACAACTTTATTATTGGTCTTATTTTGAATCTTTAAAATTATATAAATAAAAAAAATAAAAATCAATATTATTATTAGTAATTAATGACTTAAATTGTTTAAGTGAAAAACATTTAAAAAAAAATATTTTAAAGTATTTTATGAATAATTTTCAAAAAAAAACTTACCATAAAATCAACAAATAGTTGTCTAAACATAAACTCTGTATCGCTCTGGTAGTCGTCGACTAATAATAAATTTTTGGATTTATTCATATAGTTAACACTTTGATTATAATCTCCCAGTCTATGGTAGGCCAGTGCCATATGTTTAGCTAATTTCGATTTAAATAAATTATCGGTTGTGTCATTATCTGACCGTTTAATGGTCTCTTTGAACCATTGAATAGCACTTTCATAGTAATCCTCAATAAGTGTTTGTTTTCCAATCAGATAACAGTCGGCAGCCGTTAGCCGGTGTGTGTCATCTGACGACTGGATTGTTATCTCCCGGTCCTCCGATTCTGACCAGAACTTTACTGAACCGCTTGCCAGCGCCTGTATGTCCAGATTGTAAGTATTTACCAAATTTTGTAAACCTTTAGCCGCTTCAGTCAATTCATTATTTTCAATTGGATTCACTCGTAACCGGAGCTGATTTTGTGTCGGCTGATCCAGTAGTTTGTCCACTTGTGGCCATTCAGTGGCCAATCGTTTGATAAGTAGATATATGTTTATCGGATGTGATAGATATGCATCGGTATCATTGACTGCCAATTGATTAAATTGCTTTAATTCATTGATTTTTGACTTTAACTGTGAAAGTCTATGCTCTTCATCAGTGATATATTTCCCAACAGTTTGTAACCATTGACTCTCCTCTATGATAGTTGACTCTAGTTTTGTAAAGTTTATATTAAAACCATGTATTAAACTAACAAATAATGATAATATAAATATACAGTAATTTAGATAAGCTATTGATTGATTACTTTTTACAAACATTTTTTTACATAAAGTATAATAATATGTATATAAACATTGATATTAATAAATTAAAATCAATATATAAATAAATATATAATTAAATAAACTATTATTATTATTTTTTAAAAAACATATGTGTCTAATGTAAAAGTTTATTTACAATTATAAACATTCAATACTTTATGTATTGAATAACTTATTTATTTTATAGTATTATATCATATTTGAAAAACATTCATAAAATATAATAAAGTTTTTTATTTAAAATCTATTTATATATATTTATGTAAGTAAATGATGATATATTGATTATATTATATATATGTTAATTATTTAACTTTGTTGAAAAAATTTAAACATTGATGACTACTAAATAAAATTTATATATAAAAAAAATCTAATACTGTATATATGTTTTTTTCAACAACAAAAAAATAAATGTTTAATTGTTTATAAATAATTCAACGATTGTCTATCTAATAGAAACGGTTTACGAAACGCCTGTTCCTCATAATCTATCCATTTGGTGGCTATCCATTTGGCCGGGCCTACAAGCACCGGGCAAACCATCGTCAAGCAAATCAAAATCAATATAACCGGAACTTTTCAAATTATACCAAAATACGGCCGACCCTTGTCTGGGCTCAACCCGGACACCTAGTTTAAGGAAAACAGTAGCACCGCCTCCTAATTCAGATATAATTTATATAAGAAATAAAAATTAATAATATTTTATCATTATCATTGAATTAACATTTTATAAATCAAGATACACATATATAAATATCTGGGTTAAGCAAGGTTTTTTTTATTTTAGTGGGGGTCTACGGTGGTGTGTAGACTGTATTAATATTTATATAAATTTATATACCGTATAATATCAATATATTATCAATTCAATATTTATTTATTTTTTGGTAATTTACAAATAATTCAATAAATGTTTATCTAATAAACATGGCTTATGTAACTGTTGAACAGAAAACGGTATCCATTTGGTAGCAATCCATTTGGGTGGGCCGGCCAGCACCGGGCATCCACTATGCTGTGTATCCCAATCTACTAAACCGGAACTTTTCAGATTAAACCAGAAAACTGCCGATCCTTTACGGGGCTCTACCCGGACATCCAATCGGGGGAAAACAGTAGCACCGCCTGCCTGTACATCGCTCAGGTATGTGATCCATGTGGCTATATGATCGTATGGCAGACCGTACTGTTCGACAGTGACTGGTCTGAAAACTGACACATCGTAATGATTTATATAATACCCGCCGACCCTATACTTGATTACATTGTACGGTGCGGCGGCATACATACTGACACCAGTTAGGGCACCGATACGCCGACTGATTCGATCGACCACTTCGTGATCCATATCCTCTAACCAACTGCCATCAGCTAACCGTTCTCTGGAAACCCGACCTTTTGATCCAGTAAATATCATTGTTCTGGCCATTTGTCTACTGGCCAACTGTTTCATTAAATTTATTTCCCGGTCACTGATTATGTCGTGAAATACGACTATCTCTGGTTTGTCATACAATTGTTCGACTTTCACACGGGTTAGCCTAAGTAACGGCCGGTTAGTTGTATCCAAATAACGACACTTCAATCTGAACTCGACTGATCGATTCAGACGTTTTACTCCGCGACACAATTGTTGCGATATTTTTAAAAATTTTGTAATATTTTTATAAAAATTATCGGATGTTTGTTGTTGTTGTGGTGTTTCCGACAATTGATTGGATGTTTTGTTGTTCAATAAATTGCTATTTGTTTTGACGACAACTTTATTATTGGTCTTATTTAGAATCTTTAAAATTATATAAATAAAAAAAATAAAAATCAATATTATTATTAGTAATTAATGACTAAAAAATATTTTAAAGCATTTTATGAATAATTTTCAAAAAAAAAACTTACCATAAAATCAACAAATAGTTGTCTAAACATAAACTCTGTATCGCTCTGGTAGTCGTCGACTAATAATAAATTTTTGGATTTATTCATATAGTTAACACTTTGATTATAATCTCCCAGTCTATGGTAGGCCAGTGCCATATGTTTAGCTAATTTCGATTTAAATAAATTATCGGTTGTGTCATTATCTGACCGTTTAATGGTCTCTTTGAACCATTGAATAGCACTTTCATTGTTGTCCTCAATAACTGTTTGTTTTCCAATCAGATAACAGTCGGCAGCCGTCAGCCGGTGTGTGTCATCTGAAGGCTTGAATGTTATCTCCCGGACCTCCGATTCTGACCAGAACCGTACCGAACCGTTTGCCAGCGCCTGTATGTCCAGTTGATAAGTGTTAACTAAATTTTGTAAACCTTTAGCCGCTTCTGTCAATTCATTGTTTTCAATTGGATTCACTCGTAACCGGAGCTTATTGTGTGTCGGCTGATCCAGTAGTTTGTCTACTTGTGGCCATTCAGTGGCCAATCGTTTAATAAGTAGATATATGTTTATCGGATACGATAGATATGTATCGCTATCATTGACTACCAATTGATTAAATCGCTTTAATTCATTGATTTTTGACTTTAACTGTGAAAGTCTATGTTCCTCATCAGTGATATATATCTCAACAGTTTGTAACCATTGACTCTCCTCTATGATAGTTGACTCTAGTTTTGTAAAGTTTATATTAAAACCATGTATTAAACTAACAAATAATGATAATATAAATATACAGTAATTTAGATAAGCTATTGATTGATTACTTTTTACAAACATTTTTTTACATAAAGTATAATAATATGTATATAAACATTGATATTAATAAATTAAAATCAATATATAAATAAATATATAATTAAATAAACAATTATTAATATTATTATTAAAAAAACATATGTGTGTAATGTAAAAGTTTATTTATATCATAAAATTCAATTCAATAATATACAAATATTAATTTTAAATAATAAATTATTATTAATAATAATATTATAACTATTAATCAAAATTTTATAATTTATTTGTTATTTTTTAATTAATTAATTAATTTAATTTAATTAACATAATTGAATAACTGTTTATCTAATAGACATGGTTTATGAAACTCCTGTTTTGTAAATCTGATCCATTTGGTGGCAATCCATTTGGGTCCGCCCACCAGCACCGGGCATCCACTGTGCAACATATCCCAGTCGACTAACCCGGAACTCCGGAGATTATACCAGAACAGTGCCGATCCCTTTTGGGGCTCTACCCTGACATTCAATCGGGGGAAAACAGTAGCACCGCCTGCTTGGACATCGCTCAGGTATGTGATCCATGTGCCCAAACGATCGTATGGCAGACCGTACTGATCGTCGCCAACATATGGTTTTTTGACCACAACATCGTAATGATTTGAATAATACCCGCCGACCGCATACTTGATAACATTGTACGATTCAGTGCCGTAGATGTTAACGCCAATTATAGCGCCGATACGTCTGGTCAGTCGGGCAACCACTGGATGATCCCTATCCCGTAGCCAACTGCCATCGGCTACCCGACTACTGGATAGTGTTTTTGTCTTATTTTTTAATACAAATAATCTGCTCAACCTTTTCGCGGCCAACTGTTTCATTACATCTATCTCCCTATGGTCGAGTATGTCGTGAAACACCACTATTTCTGGTTTGTCATACAATTGTTCGACTTTCACACGGGTTAGCCGTAGTAATGGCCGGTTAGTTGTATTCAAATAACGACACCGCAATCTGGACTCAACTGACCGATTCATACGTTTCAATCCGCGACACAATTGTTTGGATATATCGATAAAATATTTATCTAAGTCTTGATGTTGAGAACCGTTTGGTTGTTGTTGTTGTTGTTTATCTGACAATTGATTTATTTCTTCATAATTATTAGACTTATTTGTTATCTTAAAAAAAATATAATTAATTTTTTTTAAAAGCAATTCATACTAAACATATGTACATTAATATGTTATAAATTTTAAAACAATAAAAATCAAATAAAACTTACAATTAATTCAGCAAATAGTTGGTTAAACAGTATATCTGTATCGCTCTGGTAGTCGACTAATTCATTGGATTTATTCATATAGTAAACACTTTGATTATAATCTCCCAGTCTATAGTAGGCCAGTGCCATATGTTTAGCTACTGTAGACTGAAATAACTTATTATCCGTTGTGTTGTCAATAACTGTTCGTTTAATAGTCTCGTCAAACCATTGTTTGGCACTTTGATTGTGACCAGAAATAAGTGCTTGTTTTCCAATTAGATAACAGTCGGCAGCCGTTAGCCGATGTGTGTCATCTGATGGCTGGAAGGTTATGTCTCGGCTCTCCGATTCTGACCAGAACTGTACCGAACCGTTTGCCAGCGCCTGTATGTCCAGTTGGTAAGTATTTACCAAATTTTGTAAACCTTTAGCCGCTTCAGTCAAATCATTGTTTTCAATTGGATTCACTCGTAACCGGAGCTTATTGTGTGTCGGCTGATCCAGTAGTTTGTCCACTTGTGGCCATTCAGTGGCCAATCGTTTGATAAGTAGATATATGTTTATCGGATGTGATAGATATGCATCGCTATCATTGACTGCCAATTGATTGTATTGTTTTAGTCCATCAATTGTTGACTTTAACTGTGAAAGTCTATGCTCTTCATCAGTGATATATTTCTCAACAGTTTCTATCCATTGACTCTCCTCTATGATAGTTGACTCTAGTTTTGTAAAGTTTATATTAAAACCATGTATTAAACTAACAAATAATGTTACAACTATTGCTGGTAATATAACTAAACAGTAAATAAAATTTGCCATTTTTTTAATTAAATATTATTATAAATACTTTATGTATTGAATAACTTATTTAGTTTATAATATTATATCATATTTGAAAAATATGCATAAAATTTAATATAATTTTTTATTTAAAAACTATTTATATTTATATATATTTATGTAAGTAAATGATGATATAATATATATGTTAATTATTTAAATTAAAAAAAAATAAACTTTGATGACTACTAAACAAAATTTATATATAAAAAAATCTAATACTGTGTATATGTTTTTTTTCAAAAAAAAATAAATGTTTAATTGTTTATAAATAATTTAACGATTGTCTATCTAATAGACACGGTTTACGAAACGCCTGTTCCTCATAATCTATCCATTTGGTGGCTATCCATTTGGCCGGGCCAACAAGCACCGGGCAACCACCGTGAAGCATATCAAAATCAATATAACCGGAACTTTTCAAATTATACCAAAATACGGCCGACCCTTGTCTGGGCTCAACCCGGACACCTAGTTTGGGGAAAACAGTAGCACCGCCTCCTCCTCCTCCTCCTGACTGGACATCGCTCAGATAGCTGATCCATGTGGCCATACGATTGATAGTATTGGCATAGGTTTCCCGACCCAGCCGTTGGCCACTATAGCCAACATCGTTATGATAGCGATAGTGTCCGCCGATTCTGTATTTGATAACATTAAAGCTATCGCCTCTACAGGTGTCCAGTCCAGTGATAGCACCGATACGTTTGCTTAGTCTATCGACTACCGGATGATCCGTATCTTTTAGCCAACAACCCTCAGCTATCCGTATATCGGATACTATATTTTCCGTATTATTTCGTCTGATCTTTAATCTGGTCAGTCGTTTGTTGGCCAACTGTTTCATTACGGCTATTTCCCGGCGGCCGTGTATGTCATGAAACATTACAATGTCTGGTTTGTCATACAATTGTTCAACTTTTACTCGTATTAGCCGTAGTAACGGCCGGTTAGTTGTATCCAAATAATGACATTTCAATCGCGACTCCATTACTGTCCGATTCCGATGTTTGTTGACTACTACTACTCCGCGACACAATTGTTGCGATATATCATTCAAACGGGATGTTTGTTGTTGTTGTCGTTGTTTTTCCGACAATTGATTAGTTGATATATTGCTAAATAAATAGCTATTAGTCTATAAAATTAAAATTTGAAAAAAAATTTTTATTAAAAATAAATATTCATTACTTTAATCATTCAATTAAATCATTTATAATTGTCTAACAAAAACATATATAAATAGTTTTAATTTTTTTAAATAAATAAATAAAACTTACCATTAGTTCAACAAATAGTTTGTTAAACTGAAACTCTGTATCGCTCTGGTAGTCATTGACTAATGCATTGTTGGATTCATTTATATAATGAACACTTTGATTATAATCTCCCAGTCTATAGTATGTCAGTGCCATATGTTTAGCTACTATCGACTCAAAAAACAACTTATTATCCGTTATGTTGTCATTAACTGTCCGTTTAATAGTCTCGTCAAACCATTGTTTGGCACTTTGATTGTGACCCGCAATAAGTGCTTGTTTTCCAATCAGATAACAGTCGGCAGCCGTTAGCCGATGTGTGTCCGATGGATTATGATCTCCCAGTCTATAGTAGGCCAGTGCCATATGTTTAGCTAATTCCGATTTAAACAACATATCGGATGTACTATTATCTGACCGTTTAATTGTCTCATTGAACCATTGAATAGCACTTTCATAGTAATCCTCAATAAGTGTTTGTTTTCCAATCAGATAACAGTCGGCAGCCGTTAGCCGGTGTGTGTCATCTGACGGCTGGATTATTATCTCTCGGCCCTCCGAGACTGACCAGAACTGTACCGAACCGTTTGCCAGCGCCTGTATGTCCAGTTGGTAAGTATTTACCAAATTTAGCAAACCTTTGGCCGCTTCAGTCAATTCATTGTTTTCAATTGGATTCACTCGTAACCGGAGCTTATTGTGTGTCGACTGATCCAGTAGTTTGCCTACTTGTGGCCATTCAGTGGCCAATCGTTTGATTAGTAGATATATGTTTATCGGATGTGATAGGTATGCATCGGTATCATTGACTGACAATTGATTAAATCGCTTTAATTCATTGATTGTTGACTTTAACTGTGAAAGTCTATGTTCTTCATCAGTGATATATTTCCCAACAGTTTCTATCCATTGACTCTCCTCTATGATAGTTGTCTCTAGTTTTGTAAAATTTATATTAAAACAATGTATTAAACTTACAAATAATGTTAATAATAATAAATATTTAAATAAATAGTAAGTTAAATTAGCCATTTTACAGTAAAAAAAATTTTGTTAAAACTTTTGAAAATATTTATTGAATTACTATTTAAATATATTATATTTATAGATATAATTTATGTAAGAAATAAAAATTTATAATATTTTATCATTATTATTGTAACATTAGTTAAATCAATATATATATATATATATATATATATTATTAGATATTAATATTTATATATATTCACATATAGATTTGCAAATTAAATTCAAACATAATATTTATATAAGTTTAGAAACCATTAAATCATTATATTTTATATTTTTGTAATTTTTTTTAATGTAAATTAGAAATAATTCAATAAATGTCTATCTAATAGACATGGCTTATTGAACTGTTGAAATCGAAACGGTATCCATTTGGTGGCAATCCATTTGGGTGGGCCGGCCAGCACTGGACATCCAAAGTGCATCATATTATAGTCTACTAAACCGGAACTCTTCAGATTAAACCAGAACACTGCCGATCCTTTGCGAGGCTCTACCCTTACATCCAATAGCGGAAAAACAGTAGCACCGCCCGACTGTACATCGCTCAGGTATGTGATCCATGTGGCTATAGGATCGTTACGACCGTACTGGTCGCCACTGAACGGTCTGTAAACTGTCACATCGTAATGATTTGTATAATAACCGCCGACTCTATACTTGATTACATTGTAAAGTTCGGTAACATTCATACTAAGACCAGTGATGGCACCGATACGCCGACTCAATCGTTCGACCACTTCGTGATCCATATCCTCTAACCAACTGCCATCAGCTAACCGTCCTCTGGAAACCCCACCTTTTGATTCAGTCATTGTTCTGGCCATTTGTCTACTGGCCAACTGTTTCAGTACATCCATTTCCCGGTCACTGATTATGTCGTGAAATACTACTATATCTGGTTTGTCCAACAATTGTTCGACTTTCACACGGGTTAGCCGTAGTAACGGCCGGTTAGTTGTATCCAAATAACGACACTTCAATCTGGACTCCACTGACCGATTCAAACGTTTCACTCCGCGACACAATTGTTGTGAAATATTATAAAATTTTGTAACATTTTTATAAAAATTATCGGATGTTTGTTGTTGTGGTGTTTTCGACAATTGATTGGATGTATTGTTCAATAAATTGTTATTTGTTTTGACGACAACTTTATTATTGGTCTTATTTAGAATCTTTAAAATTAAATAAATAAAAAAAATAAAAATTAATATTAGTATTATTAATAATTATTGACTTAATTGTTTGAATGAAAACTATTTAAAAAAAACTATTTTATAGCAAATTTAAAATAGTTTAAATGTCATACATATAACATATGTTTTTCAAAAATAAAAAAACTTACCATAAAATCAACAAATAGTTGTCTAAACATAAATTCTGTATCGCTTAGGTTGTCGACGTCTAATAATAAATTTTCAGATTTATTCATATAATGAATACTTTGATTATGATCTCCCAGTCTATAGTAGGCCAGTGCCATATGTTTAGCTAATTCCGATTTAAACAACATATCGGATGTACTATTATCTGACCGTTTAATTGTCTCATTGAACCATTGAATAGCACTTTCATAGTAATCCTCAATAAGTGTTTGTTTTCCAATCAGATAACAGTCGGCAGCCGTTAGCCGGTGTGTGTCATCTGACGGCGGGATTATTATCTCCCGGCCATCCGATTCTGACCAGAACTGTACCGAACCGTTTGCCAGCGCCTGTATGTCCAGTTGGTAAGTATTTACCAAATTTTGTAAACCTTTAGCCGCTTCAGTCAATTCATTGTTTTCAATTGGATTCACTCGTAACCGGAGCTTATTGTTTGTCGGCTGATCCAGTAGTTTGTCCACTTGTGGCCATTCAGTGGCCAATCGTTTGATAAGCAGATATATGTTTATCGGATGTGATAGATATGCATCACTATCATTGACTGCCAATTGATTGTATTGTTTTAGTCCATCAATTGTTGACTTTAACTGTGAAAGTCTATGCTCTTCATCAGTGATATATTTCTCAACAGTTTCTATCCATTGACTCTCCTCTATTATAGTTGAGTTTAGTTTTGTAAAGTTTATATCAAAACCATGTATTAAACTTAGTAATAATGTTAATAATAAATATATAAATAAATAGTAAGTGAAATTAGCCATTTTTTAAAAATTTTGTTAAAAATTTTAAAAATATTTATTGAATTACTATTTAAATATATTATACTAGTTTGTCCCGAGCAACATGTATAGCCGTGCAATTCTTTTACTAATTTAAAAATATTTACTATAAGTAATTTGAATGAGACTTAATTTGTTTATACAACTACTACATAACCTAATGTAACAAAACTACTGAACCAATACACATTAATTCGACTAAACTTTTGAGAAATTTTAGTTTTTATATATATTTAAATAATTTTAATAAAAATTGAAAATTTAATTTTTGCGAAAAAAAATTTGCATTTGAAAAAAATTTAGTGAAATTTAACACATGTAGCTAACATGTGCCATAAACTCACACAATATAGCAAAGTGTAATTACACGACACACCAGCCTACCTGTCCCTAAAACCTACCTGAGCTCAACAAAAATTTAAAATTTCCCATAGAAATAACATTACTTTAAATAAAAATTGAAAATTTTAACACAAATTGAAAATTTTTGCATTTGAGAAAATTTTACAAAAATTTAGCACAGGTAGCTTACCTCCCGGTGCCCTGTAACTCATATAATATAGCAAAGTGTAATTACACGACACCAGCCTACCTGTCCCTAAAACCTACCTGAGCTCAATAATCATTTAAAATTTCCCATAGAAATAACATTGCTTTAAATTAAAATTGAAAATTTTAACACAAATTGAAAATTTTTGCATTTGAGAAAATTTTACAAAAATTTAGCACAGGTAGCTTACCTCCCGGTGCCCTGTAACTCATATAATATAGCAAAGTGTAATTACACGACACCAGCCTACCTGTCCCTAAAACCTACCTGAGCTCAATAATCATTTAAAATTTCCCATAGAAATAACATTGCTTTAAATTAAAATTGAAAATTTTAACACAAATTGAAAATTTTTGCATTTGAGAAAATTTTGCAAAAATTTAGCACAGGTAGCTTACCTCCCGGTGCCCTGTAACTCATATAATATAGCAAAGTGTAATTACACGACACCAGCCTACCTGTCCCTAAAACCTACCTGAGCTCAATAATCATTTAAAATTTCCCATAGAAATAATATTGCTTTAAATTAAAATTGAAAATATAAAAATATATTTTTAGCTTTGAATTAAAAAATGGTTGTTGAGGAAGTGTGCACACATACAAACAAACAAACAAACAAACAAACAAACAAACAAACAAACAAACAAACAGACAAAAGTATTATATTAAAGTTATTAGGATTTATAGATATAATTTATGTAAGAAATAAAAATTTATAATATTTTATCATTATTATTGTAACATTAAATAAATCAATATATATATATTAGATATTAATATCTATATATATCAATATTCACATATAGATTTGCAAATTAAATTCAAACATAATATTTATATAACTTTAGAAACCATTAAATCATTATATTTTATATTTTGTAATTATTTTATGTATATTAGAGATAATTCAATAAATGTTTGTCTAATAGACATGGCTTATGTAACTGTTGAAATCGAAACGGTATCCATTTGGTGGCAATCCATTTGGGTGGGCCCGCCAGCACCGGGCATCCAAAGTGCATCATATTATAGTCTACTAAACCGGAACTTTTGAGATTAAACCAGAACACTGCCGATCCTTTGCTAGGCTCTACCCGTACATCCAATAGCGGAAAAACGGTAGCACCGCCCGACTGTACATCGCTCAGGTATGTGATCCATGTGGCTATCCGATCGTTACGACCGCACTGTTCGCCACTGAACGGTCTGTAAACTGTCACATCGTAATGATTTGTATAATAGCCGCCGATTCTATACTTGATTACATTGTAAAGTTCGGTGATATTCATATTAAGACCAGTTAAGGCACCGATACGCCGACTGAATCGTTCGACCACTTCGTGATCCATATCCTCTAACCAACTGCCATCAGCTAACCGTCCTCTGGAAACCCGACCTTTTGATTCAGTAAATGTCATTGTTCTGGACATTTGTCTACTGGCCAACTGTTTCAGTACATCCATTTCCCGGTCACTGATTATGTCGTGAAATACTACTATATCTGGTTTGTCCAACAATTGTTCGACTTTCACACGGGTTAGCCTAAGTAACGGCCGGTTAGTTGTATCCAAATAACGACACTTCAATCTGGACTCCACTGACCGATTCAAACGTTTCACTCCGCGACACAATTGTTGTGAAATATTATAAAATTTTGTAACATTTTTATAAAAATTATCGGATGTTTGTTGTTGTGGTGTTTTCGACAATTGATTGGATGTATTGTTCAATAAATTGTTATTTGTTTTTACGACAACTTTATTATTGGTCTTATTTTGAATCTTTAGAATTAAATAAATAAAAAAAATAAAAATTAATATTAGTATTATTAATAATTATTGACTTAATTGTTTGAATGAAAACTATTTAAAAAAAACTATTTTATAGCAAATTTAAAATAGTTTAATTGTCAAACATATAACATATGTTTTTCAAAAATAAAAAAACTTACCATAAAATCAACAAATAGTTGTCTAAACATAAATTCTGTATCGCTTAGGTTGTCGACGTCTAATAATAAATTTTCAGATTTATTCATATAATGAACACTTTGATTATGATCTCCCAGTCTATAGTAGGCCAGTGCCATATGTTTAGCTAATTCCGATTTAAACAACATATCGGATGTACTATTATCTGACCGTTTAATTGTCTCATTGAACCATTGAATAGCACTTTCATAGTAATCCTCAATAAGTGTTTGTTTTCCAATCAGATAACAGTCGGCAGCCGTTAGCCGATGTGTGTCATCTGACGGCTGGATTGTTATCTCCCGGTCCTCCGATTCTGACCAGAACTGTACCGAACCGTTTGCCAGCGCCTGTATGTCCAGTTGGTAAGTATTTACCAAGTTTTGTAAACCTTTAGCCGCTTCAGTAAAATCATTGTTTTCAATTGGATTCACTCGTAACCGGAGCTTATTGTGTGTCGGCTGATCCAATAGTTTGTCTACTTTTGGCCATTCAGTGGCCAGTCGTTTGATAAGCAAATATATGTTTATCGGATGTGATAGGTATGCATCGCTATCATTGACTGCCAGTTCATTGTATTGTTTTAGTCCAACAATTGTTGACTTTAACTGTGATAACCGGTGCTCTTCATCAGTGATATATTTCTCAACAGTTTGTATCCATTGACTCTCCTCTATGATTGTTAGCTCTAGTTTTGTAAAGTTTATATTAAAACTATGTATTAAACTTTCAAATGATGATAATAATAAAAATATAAATATACAATAATTTAAGTTAGACATTTTTATTTTTATTTATTAAATTACTATTTATATTTTATATAATTTATGTATGAAACAACAATTTATAAATTCATAAATATATATATATATATATATATATACCTGTATTCATACCTATATGTATATATATTCATGCACATATAGATTTACAAATTAAAATTAAAACTTTATATTTATATACAATTTTATATAAGTTTATAAACCGTTTAATATTCAATCTTTAGTTATTTATTTTTGTAATTTTTGTTGTTGTTGCTAATTTACAAATAATTAAATAAATATTTATCTAATAGCTAACGGCTTATGTAACTGTTGAAAACGGAAACGATATCAATTTTTTAAAAAATAATATTTTACTATTATCATTGTAACATTAAATAAATCAATATTTACATATATATTAGATATTAATATTTATATATATGTACATATAGATTTACAAATTAAAATTCAAACATAATATTTATATACAATATAATATGAATTCAATCTTTATTTATTTATTTTTGTAATTTTTTTTGTGGTAATTTACACATAATTGAATAAATGTTTATCTAATAGACATGGCTTATGTAACTGTTGAGATCGATACGTCATCAATTTGGTGGCAATCCATTTGGGTTGGCCCGCCAGCACCGGGCATCCACAGTGCATCATATTATAGTCTACTAAACCGGAACTTTTCAGATTAAACCAGAAAACTGCCGATCCTTTTCGAGGCTCTATCCGTACATCCAATAGCGGAAAAACAGTAGCACCGCCCGACTGTACATCGCCCAGGTATGTAACCCATGTGGCTATACGATCGTTCAGACCGTACAGTTCGCCAATGAACGGTCTGTAAACTGACACATCGTAATGATTTACATAATACCCGCCGACTCTATACTTGATTACACTGTATAGTTCGGAGCCATTCATACTGACACCAGTTAGGGCACCGATACGCCGACTGATTCGTCCGATCACTTCGTGATCCATATCCTCTAACCAACTGCCATCAGATAACCGTCCGCTAGAAACCGTACTTTTTGATAATGTCATTAATCTGGCCATTTGTCTACTGGCCAACTGTTTCATTATATCTATTTCCCGGTCACTGATTATGTCGTGAAATACTACTATATCTGGTTTGTCAAACATTTGTTCGACTTTCACACGGGTTAGCCGTAGTAACGGCCGATTAGTTGTATCCAAATAACGACACGTCAATCGGGACTCTACTGACCGATTCAAACGTTTTACTCCGCGACACAATTGTCGTGAAATGTTATAAAATTTTGTAATATTTTTATAAAAATTATCGGATGTTTGTTGTTGTTGTGGTGTTTCCGACAATTGATTGAATGTTTTGTTTCTTTGAATCTTTAAAATTAATAAATAAAAATTAAAAATCAATAATAAAAATCAATAATTTTAAAAAGTATATATCAAATAATTTAAATATCCATTACAAAAAAATATGCTATATTTTTATTTTATATATATTTATATATAATATAAAATTACCATAAAATCAACAAATAGTTGTCTAAACATAAATTCTGTATCGCTTAGGTTGTCGTCGTTGACTAATAATAAATTTTGAGATTTATTCATATAGTGAACACTTTGATTATAATCTCCCAGTCTATAGTAGGCCAGTGCCATATGTTTAGCTACTGTTGACTGAAACAACATATCGGTTGTACTATTATCTGATCGTTTAATGGTCTCATTGAACCATTGAATAGCATTTTCATAGTAATCCTCAATAAGTGTTTGTTTTCCAATCAGATAACAGTCGGCAGCCGTTAACCGGTGTGTGTCATCTGACGGCTGGATTATTATCTCACGGCCATCCGTTTCTGACCAGAACTTTACCGAACCATTTGCCAGCGCCTGTATGTCCAATTGGTAAGTATTTACCAAATTTTGTAAACCTTCAGCCGCTTCACTCAAATCATTGTTTTCAATTGGATTCACTCGTAACCGGAGCTTATTGTGTGTCGGCTGATCCAGTAGTTTGTCCACTTGTGGCCATTCAGTAGCCAATCGTTTAATCAGTAGATATATGTTTATCGGATGCGATAGATACTGTATGTATTGCTATCATTGACTGCCAATTGATTGTAATGTTTTAATCCATCAATTGTTGACTTTAAATGTGATAACCGGTGCTCTTCATCATTGATATATTTCCCAACAGTTTCTATCCATTGACTCTCCTCTATGATAGTTAACTCTAATTTTGTAAAGTTTATATTAAAACTATGTATTAAACTTTCAAATGATGATAATAATAAAAATATAAATATACAATAATTTAAGTTAGCCATTTTTATTTTTATTTATTAAATTACTATTTATATTTTATATACAATTTTAAATATATTGTGTCGATAGCAGGCGCTCAACACTACAATTCAGTCGCAAGCGTGGATATAACAACTACTCTACCGGTTCCGCACCAGTAGTAGTCTCTTAGCTCTCACACCGACATGTCTATATTATATTAACTAAATAAAAACCGTTTTTTACTTAACGCGTGTATTTACGTTAATTACTTTTACCGCCGATTCCCCGATATTTGAGTTGACTTTCCGCTCGCTATGCGATAGTCATCTCAATTGGCGCAGTCGCCGAGATCGAATTTACGCGAAAATTCACCGAAACCCCCGATTTTAACGACTAGCCGTTCGAATTCAAAACTCAACGGTTTTAGACGCCTTTATTTTAACGACATTTTTATCGACAACGTATTTACCGTCGACTTAAGGCGTTTTTCAAGAAACGAATAGACCGAAGAAGGTATCGATGTCTCTCCGATCCGGAAATAACCTATTAGCGTCTTTTCCGACCGCCGCCGCCGACGATGTCACCGAAGACATAAAGACATTAGCCGATGATATCGAAGCGATAGCTCAAGGAATCACTGCCGATATGGATATCGATGAGTTGGCTGAACGCATGGCCACATTGACTACTGCTGCCCGCGCCGCTGCGGCAGCCCGCGAACAAGCCATACAATATGGACTCGCCTCCAGACGATTGACAAATGCAAACACAATGAGACGTTTGGACTTTACCGATAACCGTAGCACCAGACCACTACCGACACCACAACACGCCAGGACTTCATCGAAAATGTGTGAATCGTTTAGTGGCGATAAATCGATAGTACCGATAGACGAATGGATAGACGGTTTCAATTCGTTGGTATACGATTTAACCGACAGCGAGAAGATTACATCACTGGCCAAACACGTAACAGGTGAGGCATACAGTTGGTACTGCCGTGAGGTCGCCCGTAAACGACCTGACATCACGTGGGATACGTGTAGAACGAAGATGATCGCCCGCTTCGGCCGTATAGTAGGCCACGGGATAGTCGAAGCATCTGACCGTCGAGTTCGAGGAAACGAATCCGTTTTATCCTATTATAACGACATGCGCCGGCTTTTGGATGAAGCCGAGGCCACGGATAAGCAGGCGGTCGGGCTACTCACGAAGGGTATGCCCGACTGGTACAAACCACATCTGGCCGCCCAGAAGCCGAAATCACCCGAAGATTGGTTTAGTATCGCCGTAGCGATAGAAGAGACACGAAAGCGACAGCGATACCCGAATATCGATTCTATTAACGATTACGACGACAATGACAGAAGCTATGATTGGAGAAAACAACGTAACAACGACTTACCTACGAAACCCTGTCCTCGATGTCTCCGATCCGGATATACTGAATATCATTGGATGCGCCTTTGCCACCGCCCAGACAATAGACAACCACAAGCTCCGCGCCCAGCCGATGAAAATGACTCGACAACCGCCGTCAACGTTATGGTTATCAATGTATTGAATAACTTATTTTTTTTTAATTTAATTTTATAATATAATATTAATTTTGAAACACATTTAATATAAATTTATATATAATTTATGTAAGAAACAAAATTAAACAAATATAAATTTTATATAATATAATATAAAAAAATATAAATATAATTATATAAATCAATGTATTTAACAACAGTATTAAAAACTTTTAAAGATTTTTTGATCAAATGGGAAAAATAACCCCCCCCCCCAATATTTTAATTGACCCCCTCCCCACTTGATTTTGCCGTTTAAAAATGCAATAAAAGTCTTACCCCACACTATACCCCACCGCACCACGATTTTTTTGAGATTTTGTAAATAACACCCTAGTCTACCTCCCCCTCCCTAAAATTCAAAATCTTGTTTAACCCTGATATTAATATTTATGCACATATAGATTCACAAATTAAATTCAAAAACTTTTAAATATTTATATACCGTGTAATATCAATATATTATGAATTGAATTTTTATTTAGTTTTTTAATATTATTTTTATTTAGTAATTTATTTTCTGGTAATTTACAAATAATTCAATAAATGTCTGTCTAATAGACATGGCTTATGTAACTGTTGATACGGAAACCGTATCCATTTGGTGGCAATCCATTTGGGTGGCCCGGCCAGCACCGGGCATCCACAGTGCTGTGTATCCCAATCGACTAAACCGGAACTTTTCAGATTAAACCAGAAAACTGCCGATCCTTTCCTGGGCTCTACCCGTACATCCAATCGGGGGAAAACAGTAGCACCGCCCGACTGAACATCGCTCAGGTATGTAATCAATGTGGCTATACGATCGTATGGTTCACCGTATTGTTCGCCAGTGAACGGCCTAACAACTGCTACATCGTAATGATTTGTATAATACCCGCCGACGCCATACTTGATTACATTGTAAGGTTCGGCGGCAAACATACTGACACCAGTGATGGCACCGATACGCCGACTGATTCGATCGAACACTTCGTGATCCAAATCCCCTAACCAACCGCCATCAGCTATCCGTCCGCTGGAAACTCGACTTTTTGATTGATAATATGTCATTAATCTGTCCATTCGTCTACTGGCAAACTGTTTCATTAAATCTATTTCCCGGTCACTGATTATGTCGTGAAATACTACTATATCTGGTTTGTCCAACAATTGTTCGACTTTCACACGGGTTAGCCGTAGTAACGGCCGGTTAGTTGTATCCAAATAACGACATTTCAATCTGGACTCCACTGACCGATTCAAACGTTTCACTCCGCGACACAATTGTTGTGAAATATTATAAAATTTTGTAACATTTTCATCATATTTATCGGATGTTTTGACTATAGTTTTATTGTTCTTATTTTGTATCTTTAAAAAAAAAATTAATAAATAAAAAATAATTAATTAATAATAATTAACTTAATTGTTTAAACAAAAATTATTTCTAAATAATTTAAATATCATACTAAACAAAAATATTTCAACAAAAAAAATAATAAAACTTACCATAAAATCAACAAATAGTTGTCTAAACATAAACTCTGTATCGCTCTGGTAGTCGTCGACTAATAATAAATTGTTGGATATATTCATATAATGAACACTTTGATTATGATCTCCCAGTCTATAGTAGGCCAGTGCCATATGTTTAGATACATTTGATTGAAACAACATATCGGTTGTGTCATTATTTGACCGTTTAATGGTCTCATTGAACCATTGAATAGCACTTTCATAGTAATCCTCAATAAGTGTTTGTTTTCCAATCAGATAACAGTCGGCAGCCGTTAGCCGGTGTGTGTCATCTGACGGCTGGATTATTATCTCACGGCCATCCGATTCTGACCAGAACTTTACCGAACCGTTTACCAGCGCCGGTATGTCCAGATTGTAAGTGTTTACCAAATGTTGTAAACCTATGGCCGCTTCAGTGAAATCATTGTTTTCAATTGGATTCACTCGTAACCGGAGCTTATTGTGTGTCGGCTGATCCAATAGTTTGTCTACTTGTGGCCATTCAGTGGCCAGTCGTTTGATTAGCAGATATATGTTTATCGGATGTGATAGATAGGTATCGGTATCATTGACTGCCAATTGATTGTATTGTTTTAGTCCAACAATCGTTGACTTTAACTGTGATAGCCGGTGCTCTTCATCAGTAATATATTTTTCAACAGTTTGTATCCATGAGCTTTCCTCTATGATAGTTGAGTTTAGTTTTGTAAAGTTTATATCAAAACCATGTATTAAACTTAGTAATAATGATAATAATAAAAATATACAATAATTTAAAATCGCCATTTTATTATTGAAAATAAAAAAATACAACAATTTATAAATTGAAGTATTGAATTACTTACAGTATTTTTATTTATACTATTTATATTTATATATTTATGTTAATATTTTACCTTTAAATGCGGTTAAAATAAGAAAAATTTAAACATTAAACAAATATTTTTTTTATACATTATTTGATTTAAAATGTATTAAAAAATCAAAACAATAAAATCTAAATATTTTAAATAGTAAATATATAAATAATTAAAAAAATGTATGATTATAATAAATTATATAAATAAATAGTTATATAAAAAATATTAATGATTAATATATATAGTAAAGTTTGATAATTAAAAAATAGATTTTAGAAATTATTTTAATAATTTTATTTTTTTATGCTATTTTGATAAGTTATACTAAATTTTAGATAAATTGAGAAATTATGACAACTTTTTTTTTGATAAAAATTAATTAATAAATAAAACATATATTAATTTTGTAATGTATATGAAAAATATTTATCACATAGTTATGTGTATTTGTTTTGTATTGTTTTTTTAAAAAATAAATAAATATCTAATCTATAAATAATTCAATAACTGTTTATCCAATAGACATGGCTTATGAAATACTTGTTCAGTATAGCCGATCCATTTAGTTGAAATCCATTTGGGTTGGCCGACCAGCACCGGGCATCCACTGTGCAACATATCCCAGTCGACTAAACCCGAACTCCGGAGATTATACCAGAACAGTGCCGATCCCTGTCTGGGCTGAACACGGATATTCAATCGGGGAAAAATAGTAGCACCGCCTGCTTGAACATCGCTCAGGTATGTAATCCATGTGGCCATACGATTGACAAGCAGTCCATACTGTTCCGTATTGAATGGTTTGACAACATTCACGTCGTAATGATTTCTATAGTATCCGCCGATCCTATACTGGATTACATTAAAGTTTTCCGACCCATTGATGTTAACACCAGTTATAGCACCGATACGTCGGCTGAGTCTATCAACTACTGGATGATCCTGATCTTTAAGCCAACATCCATCAGCTACACGGGGAACGTATGATTTCTTAGTGATTTTACCACGTACCCCTAATCTAGTTAATTGTGAACTGGCTAATTGTTTAATTACATCCATTTCCCTGACACTGATTATGTCGTGAAACACCAGTATTTCTGGTTTATCATACAATTGTTCGACTTTCACCCGAGTTAGCCGTAGTAACGGCCGGTTAGTTGTATCCAAATAACGACACCGCAATCGTGACTCCATTGCTGTCCGATTCGTATGATTGTTGTTGACTACTAATCCGCGACACAATTGTTGTGATATAACCGACAACTGACTGAACATTTGTTTGTCTTTGTCTAGCAATTCATTGATTGATGTTTTGTTTGAAACGGTATTTACTTTCAAATTGTTTTTATTTTCAATCTTAAAATTCAATAATAAAATAATTATTATTTAATTTTCTCAATATATCTGTACTTAACTCTAATAAAACCTAAAAGAGTTTTAAAAAAAACATACCATTAAATCAACAATTAATTTATTAAACATAAACTCTGTATCGTTCAGGTAGTCGTCGACTAATAAATTGTTGGATTCATTCATATAGTGAACACTTTGATTATGATCTCCCAGTCTATAGTAGGCCAGTGCCATATGTTTAGCTACTTTTGACTGAAACAACGTTGTGTTGTCATTATCTGTCCGTTTGTTGGTCTCATTGAACCATTGAATAGCATTTTGATTGTGACCCGCAATAAGCGTTTGTTTTCCAATCAGATAACAGTCGGCAGCCGTTAGCCGATGTGTGTCATCAGACGGCTGGAATGTTTTCTCCCGAGCCTCCGATTCTGACCAGAACCGTACCGAACCATTTGCCAGCGCCTGTATGTCCAGTTGGTAAGTATTTACCAAATTTTGTAAACCTTTGGCCGCTTCAGTAAAATTATTGTTTTCAATTGGATTCACTCGTAACCGGAGCTTATTATATGTTGTCTGATCTAATAATCTGTCCACTTGTGGCCATTCAGTGGCCAGTCGTTTAATTAGTAGATATATGTTTATCGGATGTGATAGATAGGCATCGCTATCATTGACTGCCAATTGATTGTATTGTTTTAGTCCAACAATCGTTGACTTTAACTGTGAAAGTCTATGCTCTTCATCAGTAATGTATTTCTCAACAGTTTGTATCCATTGACTCTCCTCTATGATAGTTGACTCTAGTTTTGTAAAGTTTATATTAAAACCATGTATTAAACTAACAAATAATGTTAAAAATATTGCTGGTAATATAACTAAACTGTAAACAAAATTTGCCATTTTTTTTATTAAATATTATTATAAATACTTTATGTATTGAATAACTTATTTATTTTATAATATTATATTATTTTCGAAAAACATGCATAACATATAACATAATATATTTTTAAATATTTATATATTTATAAATTATATATTTATATAAGTAAATTAAGTTATATTGATAAAATATATGATATTGTTTAATTTTTTAAAAATAAATATAAATTTTTATGACTACAAAATTAAAATTATAAAAAATATCTAATACTATATTATTATTATAGTGTTATATGTTTTTTATAAATATTTAATTGTTTATTAAATGTTATAGTATATTATGATTATGATAATTGTAACAAAATATATGAATAAATTTATGAATAAATTTTGTTTAAAAGTATTAATAATTTATAATAAATATTTAAAACATAAAATAAAAATAATTTGTTTATTATTTTTGCTTATTGTATAAAATGAGTTTTTTAGTGTAACTTTTTATTATATAAAAAAATAAATAATTAAATATAATTCATGTATTGTTTATCTAATAGACATGGTTTATGAAACTCTTGTTGTCCATAGCTTATCCATTTGGTGGCTATCCATTTGGGAGGGCCTACTAGAACCGGGCATCCACTGTGCATCATATCCCAGTCGACTAACCCGGAACTCCGGAGATTATACCAGAACAATGCCGATCCCTGTCTGGGCTGAACACGGATATTCAATCGGGGAAAAATAGTAGCACCGCCTGCTTGAACATCGCTCAGGTATGTAATCCATGTGGCCATACGATTGACAAGCAGTCCATACTGTTCCGTATTGAATGGTTTGACAACATTCACGTCGTAATGATTTCTATAGTATCCGCCGATCCTATACTGGATTACATTAAAGTTTTCCGACCCATTGATGTTAACACCAGTTATAGCACCGATACGTCGGCTGAGTCTATCAACTACTGGATGATCCATTTGGTGGCTATCCATTTGGGAGGGCCTACTAGAACCGGGCATCCACTGTGCATCATATCCCAGTCGACTAACCCGGAACTCCGGAGATTATACCAGAACAATGCCGATCCCTGTCTGGGCTCTACCCGGACATTAAAACTGGGAAAAACAGTAGCACCGCCTGCCTGGACATCGCTCAAGTAGCCGATCCATGTGGCCATACGATTGACTAACTGGGCGTACTGTTCGCCAGTGAAAAACGGCTGGACAACACTCATATCGTAATGATTTCTATAGTATCCGCCGACCGCATACTTGATTATATTAAAACTTTCCGACCCATTCATATTAACACCAGTTATAGCACCGATACGTCTGGTAAGTCTATCGATAACTGGATGATCCCAGTCCTCTAGCCAACAGCCCTGTGCTATCCGTACATCAGATATATTATATTTGGTGTCACGGCGTACCGTTAATCTGGTCAGACGTTTGTTGGCCAACTGTTTAATTACGGCTACTTCCCGTTGGCCGAGTATGTCGTGAAACACTACTATCTCTGGTTTGTCATACAATTGTTCGACTTTCACCCGAGTTAGCCGTAGTAACGGCCGATTAGTTGTATCCAAATAACGACATTTTAATTGTGACTCTACTGTCCGATTCCTATGTTTGTTGACTACTACTCCGCGACATAATTGTTGCGATATAACCGACAACTGACTGTAAATTTGATTTTCGGACAATTGATTGTTTGATGTTTTGTTTGAAACGGTATTTACTTTCAAATTGTTTTTATTTTCAATCTTAATAAATATAATAAAGTAATTATCATATTTTATTCAATATATATATATATATATATATATATATATATATATATATATATATATATATATATATATATATATATCTGCACTTAACTTACCATTAAGTTAACAATTAATTCAGTAAACAGAAACTCTGTATCGCTCTGGTAGTCGACTAATTCATTGGATTTATTCATATAGTGAATACTTTGATTATAATCTCCCAGTCTATAGTAGGCCAGTGCCATATGTTTAGCTACTTTTGACTGAAACAATTTATCATCGGTTGTATTGTCATTAACTATTGTCCGTTTAATAGTCTCATTAAACCATTGTTTGGCACTTTGATAGCTACCCAAACTAAGTGCTTGTTTTCCAATCAGATAACAGTCGGCAGCCGTTAGCCGGTGTGTGTCATCTGACGGCTTGAATGCTATGTGTTGACCCTCCGATACTGACCAAAACCGTACCGAACCGTTTGCCAGCGCCTGTATGTCCAAATGGTAAGTGCCTACCAAAATTTGCAAACCTTTGGCCGCTACAGTCAATTCATTGTTTTCAATTGGATTCACTCGTAACCGGAGCTTATTGTGTGTCGGCTGATCCAGTAGTTTGTCTACTTTTGGCCATTCAGTGGCCAATCGTTTGATAAGTAGATATATGTTTATCGGATGCGATAGATATGTATCGCTATCATTGACTGCCAATTGATTGTATTGTTTTAGTCCAACAATTGTTGACTTTAACTGTGAAAGTCTATGTTCTTCATCAGTGATATATTTCTCAACGATTTGTATCCATTGACTCTCCTCTATGATAGTTGTCTCTAGTTTTGTAAAGTTTATATTAAAACATTGTATAAAATTTAATAATAATAATAATAATAATAAAATTATATATAAATAGTAAGTTAAATATGGCATTTTTATTTTTTAAATATATATATATATATATATATATATTAATATATAAATAAAAATATACTAATATATTAATATCAAAATATATAAATACAGAATTTATGACATTATTTACGTATTTTATATAATTTATGTAAAATTTATATTAGATTTATATTTTATTTTAAAAAAATAAAATATATAAAGAAATACAATATAATAATGTTATAGTTTTATTAAATGCTATTTAAAAAAATCATATTTCTTTATTACTATACTTTTATTTGATAAAAATTTATAGATAAGTATTTTATAGTTATATTCATTTATAGATAATTTAAATTTTAATATACAGTAAAATATTAAAATATATTTAAAATTAATATAATAAATAATGTTATATTATATTATGATATAATGAATATTTTTAAAATAAAAATATGACTAATTTATAACTTTAAAAAAAATTTCTAAATCAAGTAATAATTAAAATAAAAAGTTTAATTATTTATTATTTTTACTTATTGTATAAAATGAATTTTTGTTGTATTTAAAAAAAAAATTAAATATAATTCATAGATTGTTTATCCAATAGACATGGTTTATGAAACTCTTGTCTTTCATATCTGATCCATTTGGTGGCAATCCATTTGGGTTGGCCCACCAGCACCGGGCATCCACTGTGCAACATATCCCAGTCGACTAATCCCGAACTCCGGAGATTATACCAGAACAGTGCCGATCCTTGTCTCGGCTCTACCCGGACATCCAATCGGGGGAAAACAGTAGCACCGCCTGCCTGTACATCGCTCAGGTATGTGATCCATGTGGCCATACGATGGACTGACTGGGTATACTGTTCTCCAGTATAAAACGGTTTGACAACTTTCATATCGTAATGATTTTTATAGTATCCGCCGACGCCATACTTGATTACATTAAAACTTTCCGTCCCATTGATGTTAACACCAGTTATAGCACCGATACGTCTGGTGAGTCTGTCTAACACTGGATGATCCCAGTAGTCTAGCCAACAGCCCTGACCTACCCGTACATCAGATTTACTATATTTGGTGTCATTGCCTACCACTAATCTGGACAATTGTGATCTAGCTAATTGTTTAATTACATCTACCTCCCGGTGCCCGATTATGTCGTGAAACACTACTATCTCTGGTTTGTCATACAATTGTTCGACTTTCACCCGAGTTAGCCGTAGTAACGGCCGGTTAGTTGTATCCAAATAATGACACCGAAATCGCGACTCCATTACTGTCCGATTCATATGTTTGTTGACTACTACTCCGCGACACAATTGTTGCGATATAACCGACAACTGACTGAATATTTGTTTGTCTTTGTCTAGCAATTGATTGATTGATGTTTTGTTTGAAACGGTATTTACTTTTAATTTGTTTTTATTTTCAATCTTAAAATTTAATAATAAATTAATTATATGTACTTAACTCTAATAAAACCTAAAAGAGTTTTTAAAAAACATACCATTAAATCATCAATTAATTTATTAAACATGAACTCTGTATCGCTCTGGTAGTCGTCGACTAATAAATTGTTGGATTCATTCATATTGTGAACACTTTGATTATAATCTCCCAGTCTATAGTAGGCCAGTGCCATATGTTTAGCTACTGTTGACTGAAACAACTTATCATCCGTTGTATTGTCATTATCTGTCCGTTTAATGGTCTCATTAAACCATTGTTTGGCATTTTCATAGTGACCCGTAATAAGTGTTTGTTTGCCAATTAGATAACAGTCGGCAGCCGTTAGCCGGTGTGTGTCATCTGACGGCTGGAATGTTATGTTTCGACTCTCCGATTCTGACCAGAACTGTACCGAACCGTTTGCCAGCGACTGTATGTCCAATTGGTAAGTGTTAACTAAATTTTGTAAACCTTTAGCCGCTTCAGTCAATTCATTGTTTTCAATTGGATTCACTCGTAACCGGAGCCTATTGTGTGTCGGCTGATCCAGTAGTTTGTCCACTTGTGGCCATTCAGTGGCCAATCGTTTAATTAGTAGATATATGTTTATCGGATGTGATAGATAGGCATCGCTATCATTGACTGCCAATTGATTGTATTGTTTTAGTCCATCAATTGTTGACTTTAACTGTGAAAGTCTATGCTCTTCATCAGTAATGTATTTCTCAACAGTTTGTATCCATTGACTCTCCTCTATGATAGTTGACTCTAGTTTTGTAAAGTTTATATTAAAACCATGTATTAAACTAATAAATAATGTTACAACTATTGCTGGTAATATAACTAAACAGTAATTAAAATTTGCCATTTTTTTTAATTAAATATTATTATAAATACTTTATATATTGAATAACTTATTTATTTTCATAATTATTATAATATTATTTTAAAAACATGCATAACATACTGTATATCATAATATAAAGTTTTAAAAAATAATATATATATATATTATATATTTTATAAGTAAATAATAATATATTGATAAATAAATAAATAAATTTGTTTTAATCATATTTTATTGTTTGATTTGTGGCTAAATTTTATTACATTTATATATATATATATTTATGTATATATTTTATACATCTATTGATTTATATATTGAAATTAATTAATTATTATTTTTATTATTATTATTACTGTATTTTTTTGGTGTTTAATTAACTCAATATTTTTTTGTTTATTTGCTGTTTAACCGGTATTTTTGTTTGAAATATTTGTCCGGATCTTTGTTGTAGTTTTTGTTGTAATAGTTTTAGTAGTTGTGGTGATTGTTGTTTTTGATTCTGTATTTGTTGTAGTGGTTGTTGTTGGGGGTGTTGTTGTTGAGGTTGTTGTGGAGGCGTTAGTTTGGATAGAGGTTTGATTGTGGGTTGGGGTTGTTGGGGTTTGGGTTGTTGTTGTTGGGGTTTTTGTTGTTGTTGTTGGGGTTGGGGTTTAGGCTGTTGAGGTTTGGGTGCGGGTTGTTGAGGTTTGGGTACTAGTTGTTGTTGTTGGGGTTTGGGTATTGGTTGTTGGGGCTGGGGTTTTGGTGTGGGTTGTTGTTGTTGGGATTTAGGTGTGGATTGTTGTTGGGGTTGTGGTGTGGGTTGTTGTTGGGCTTGTGGTGTGGATTGTTGTTGGGGTTGTGGTGTGGGTTGTTGTTGGACTTGTGGTGTGGATTGGTGTTGGGGTTGGGGTTGTGGTGTGGGTTGTTGTTGGGCTTGTGGTGTGGATTGGTGTTGGGGTTGTGGTTGTGGTGTGGGTTGTTGTTGTTGTTGTTGTTTTTTATTAAAATAATTGTATATTTTATGAATCGGATGATTAGTTTCAATTGGCAAATAGTTGCCATTTGTGTCGCGTGTATACAATTGATCATCTTTGACAGTAGTAGTAGTAGCAGTAGTAGTAGTAGTAATAGCATTGTTGTTGTGGTTGTGGTTGTGGTTGTTATCATTGCTGTCAGTGCCAACAACATCATGGCTACTGGTGGTGACGGTAGTAGTAGCGTCGTGACCATGTTCAGTGGATGTGTCGTCAATAATATTATTATTATGCAAATGATCCTGATCATGTTGATGATCATTGTTACCATTGCCATCATTAACTATTTTGTTATCATATAATAATAATAATTATTATTATTATTATCCAAATTACCAACAAATCTCTCTCTCTCTCTCTTTCTCTCTCTCTCTCTCTCTCTCTGTCTGTCTGTCTTACCTGTTGTATGTGTATGACCAGCATCAGCACCGTCACCACTGTGGGTAGTGGTATGATGATCATTGCTAGTAGGACTATCAGTGCCAGCAACATGAACAACATCATGAGGGTTACCAGTGCTACTATCAACAACAGCACCACCACCACTACCTTCATGGGGATGTTCATCAGTGGTATGATTATGCGGCTGATGATGATCATTGACAATAATATTAGCACCATTAGTACCATCATTATGATGATGATTGTCATTACCTTTATGTGGTGTCAATATAATAATAATTATTATTATTTATATAATTACCCAAATTATCTTACCTGTTGTTGTTGGTTTTGTAGGCGTGTGCTCAGCACCTGTACTACTATTATTGCTAATTTGGTCGACAATGGCAGGGATTATTGGACTATCAGAGCTGTGGTCAGTGATGGGTGTATGGCTAGTGGTAGTAGTAGTTTGACCGCCATTACCATCGTTATGATTATCAGTATCGGGTAGATACTGATCGTGCGGTTCATATATACCGTTAGTAGTGGCATCACCAGCACCTGTAGTGGCGATGGCCTCGTGATGAGCACCGATGGTAGTCAGTGATAGTGGTATTTCAGTATTTTCTACCAACGATTCTGTATTATGATTATTATTATTATCGATCGCTACTACCGAAGCTGTTGTTGTTGTTGTTGTCAGTTCACCGCCGCTGTTGTCGTTACCGAACAACGACAGCAACTTTTGTTCGTCAATACTATTCAGATCAGTAGTATTGTCTTCGGCAGTGATGGTGTTGGTGGTGGAGGTGGAGGTGACGACAGCAGCAGCAACAGCATTGTCACTACCATTGCTATTACTATCTGATGAATCGATAGACGAATACATCAGCGGTATCTTATCGGACAACACTGTATTATCATCGGTTGACTGATGGTCACCATCGCTACTAATACTACCTGTGCTACCTGTTGAATGTACTGGTTCAGAGGTAACTGCTGCTGGTTGTCCAGTATTATCGATAGTTGTTGTACCACTGTTAGAGTTGTCATGATTTTCTTGACCTTGATTTTCGTGGCCATCACTACCACCACCACCAGCGCCATCAACACCAGCGTTATGATCGCCATTAGTTAAATTGTTGACATATACTTGTGTGCCATCGGGAAGTGTTAGGCCATTAGTAGTAGTACTATGTTGTTGATCATTAACACCGCTACCTCCATGATGTCCACTACTAGTAGTACTACTGTGATTGGTGTCGTCGCCGACCAATGTGTGCGGTGTAGTGTTGGTGGTGACGGTTGAAGTAGTTTTAATAAGGGAACTAGCAGGAACAATATTACCATATTCATCTAAGACCAAATCGCCATCATCAGCACCACCGGCAGCTTCTCCTACTGTAGTAGTAGTAGTATGAGAGTCGGGTGCACTACTACTACTACTATCAGCAGAAGTTACCAAACTATCAGTTCCAATAGTAGTAGACGATAACGACTGATGATTAGTTACCAGTGTCTGATGGTTGGCCACCGTATGGTTGTCCTGGTTGTCGGCCGCTGCTGCTTCATCGGCTAACTGGGCAATCTTATCGCTACTTTGAAAATTATCTATAAATGACTGGGTCGGTGTCGGCGTCGGCAGCGTCGGTACGGTTGTAGAAACGGTTGGTCTAATTGTTTGCTGCGATCCCGGCGGCGATAGTTTGCGTTGGGCCCCACCATCGCCTAAATTATTACGATTAAGACCGGAAATAATAGTGCCGGACAGTGATGGCTTTTTGGTATTGTTTTGTTTGTTAGCTCCCTGTGCTGCTGCTGGAGCAATACTAATCGGTGGTTGTCCACTGTGTGGTACGTTTGTATTATTTCTAACTACCAGTCCACTATTATTACTAATATTATTAGGCTTAGTATTATTATTACTACTATTAGGTTGTCGGCTATCAGTCCTGGGCACCGGCACTCTAGTAGTTTGGCCACCTCTGAGCAGTAGTGGTGTCTTTGGTTTGGAAGTGGTCAGGTTTTGTGGACAGGGTTTGATCTCATTGACAATAGGATTTCCTTTATTGACGATTACTTCCGACACTACTAGCGGCTTAAATGTTAGCGGCCTACGAGTTTTTGGGCCACCTTTCCAGCTAATTGGATGGCCAGCACCGCCAGCACCACCACCAACAGTATTACTACCTGTGTTGTTGTTGTGGTTGTTATTGTCAAATAAGGCATCCATAGCATCAAAAGTGCTTCCCAGTTGTGAGTCCAGATCGATATGATCATTATGGTCATTGTTGACCACATTTACCGATGATGATGTTGTAGTAGTAGTTGTTGTTGTGGTTGCAATTACTATTTTGGACACACCTGCTACTACTACTGGTGTTGGTAGCCTTCTAGTGGTTAATGGTTTACTTGTAGTTGTTTTTGCAATTTTCGAGCTAATTGGGTGACCACCACCATTAGTAACCCTATTACTACTACTAGTAGTAGTGGTACTAACTTTAGCACCCAGGTCATTGATTTTTTGTGTGCTTTCCAGCTGATCCATTTCGTGATAAATTTTTTTCAATTGTTCCGACGGGTCGTCATTATGATTATTATTTTGTTTGACCACATTTTTCGCTGATGATGTCGTTGTTGCTGTTGCTATTTTTGGTGTCGGTTTAGTTACAACTACAGGTACTTTCGGCACCGCCACCACCACTGGCTTTAATGTTAATGGTTTGCTAGTTGTTGTTGCTGTTTTTGAACCTTTCAAGCTATTTGATGGTTGGCCACTACCACCAGCAACAGCAGCAACACCTCCTCCTCCTCCAACTTTTGAAGCACTTCCAGCATTACCTCCTGAACCTCCAGCACTTGAAACATCAGCTGCTACAGTATCGACAGTTTTTCCAGCATCTCCAGCACCTGGAGTATCGCCGCCAGCACCTGGAGCTGCATCGCCATGATCTACAGTATCGCCAGCACCAGCACCTCCAGCACCAGCAGCAGCGGCAGCATTATCACCATTAACCTCATTAGTACTATCAGTACTGTGACCACCAATATCTTTGTTGTTGTCATCATTGGTATCTAAATTGTTGGCCAACTGTTCCGGTTGATTGTTATTATTGTTAATATTTACCACATTTTTCGATGATATTGTTGTTGTTATTGTTGTTGATTTAGTTGTCTTGGCTATTGTTGTTGTAATATCTAATTAATTAATTAATTAATTTAAAACAGTCCGACATTAATACAATAATTAGTTAATAATAATAATAATGATTTTATATGTTAAGTGATATATATATATATTATATAGATATATAAAATTATATAATTACCAGTAAATGTTAGTATAATTAAAATTGAAACAACAATATTACTAAAATACATGTTTAACTTAATTAATTGATTTGATTAAATATAATTGTCTAAATAATTAATTAATTTCTACTATAATTTAAGTTAAACAAAAAATTAATTAATTAATTACTATACTGTCTACACATCATTATGAACATTGAAAACATTTTAAAAATAAAATAAAATTAGTTAATGGCTAACTTTTTTTGATTAATTAATATTTTTTATGAAAAAAAATAATTAATTAATAAAAAATAATACATTTACTACTAAAATATACTGTATATATATCTATAATATAAAAATATTGTACATTAATTATTTAATAAGTAATTAGTATTAAGCAATTAATTGATTAGTTTTTTTATGTTGAAGTATTTTTTTTATTGAAAAAAGTGACTATAAATTACATAAAATAAAAATATTTAATAAACACTGTTTTTAAAAAAAAAATAACAATTAATTGTTTTATTCAACAAAAAATCTAATCTTATATTATTTTATGAAAATTTATAAAATATAAATTTATTTATTAAAATATTTCGGATACCTGTATTACACATATATATAATATGATAATTATATTTAAAATAAACATTAATTATATACTTTATAAATTTTTTTAAATAAATTTATATATATATTTAGTTAAATATTTTTATAATAAATTTTTTAATAAATATTATTCAATTATTATTATTATTATTATTATTATTATTATCGTTTACTTTCTGCTTCCTTAATCAAATCATTAAGTTTACCGCCGCCTTGAAATACATTCATAAACGACTGTCCCTTAATATCGTCCAACACTGGCGGCAGGTCATCCTCAGTAGTAGTAGTAGTAGTAGTCATTGTATTATCATTGAGCCGTTTCCTAGTAGTAGTAGTTTTCTTTGGTTTCTTAGTATTTTTATTACCGCTAACTTTAGTATCAATAGTAGTAGTATCTGTTGATGTTTTAATTACTACTGATTTAATAAATAAATAAAATAATTTTAAATCAAAATTTATAAGAAAATTATGTTATTGTGTATGTATGAGTGTGTAGGTGTTTGTATGTATCTTTGTGTGTGTGTGTGTGTTTGATTGCGTTTGTGTGTATCTATGAGTGTATAGGTGTTTGTGTGTATGTATGAGTGTGTATGTATGAGTGTGTAGGTGTTTGTGTGCATGTATGATTATGTGTATGTATGAGTGTGTAGGTGTTTGTGTGCATGTATGATTATGTGTATGTGTGTGTGTGTGTGTAGGTGTTTGTGTGTATGTATGACTGTGTAGGTGTTTGTGTGTATGTATGAGTGTTTAAGTGTGTGTGTGTGTATCACCAGCACTGGTATCAATTAATTTTTTTGGTTACCATTTTTGACTTTATTGCTACCAGTATTAGCAGTTGCAGTTGGTTTTGTAGTTACTAAATAAAATTTAAAAAAAAATTAATAAAATAAAACTAAAATTTAAGTTAAATATTATTATAAATATAATTTGTATTATTGATATATATATATATATAATATAATATAATTTACCACTGATTTTGACTTTTTGCTTATTATTGGGTGCTTTGGTTACACCACCAGCACTTGTTGGTGTCGTTATTGTAATCACTGAACAAAAATAATAGATAATATCATTTAATTATTTTTATTTTGTTGATATATATATATATATATATATATATTTAAATAGGTTTATATATATATTATTATATTACATTATATATTCTGTAAATATATATAAATTAAATTAAATAAAAAATAAATTATTTATGAATTAAAATGTATATTATTATTTTTTTTTAATTACCAAACAATGTGATAACAATAACAACAGTTACACATAATTTAAACATTTATTTTTGTTGTTGTTTTTTAAATAATTAATTTTCAATAAATAAATGTAATTGTATTACTGATCTATATAATAATAAAATAATAATAATAATAATAATATTAAAAAAATATTTTCTCTATTTATATCATTATTATTATTTATTTATTATTATTATTTACTATTTATAATATGGCTAACTGTTAATTAATTTATATTAAAAATTTTTCAAATATAATGCTATTAAATTAATAAAAATATATTTAAACATTTTTTTTTGTAAAAAATATAACACTAATTATTTTTTTAAAATAAAATTATAACCAAGATATAGATTATTTAAAAAAAATAAAAATAATTATTACAAATATTTTATATAATCAAGCATCATTTAAAAAAGTTTATAAAAATATGTTTATGTAATTTATTGTTTATACTAATGCATACCATTAATTAATTATTATAATTACAAAAAAAAACTTATTTATAATTATTATTACATCTATAAAAATAAAACAATTGATTAGATTTATCAACAAAAATTATTTTTTATTTAAATATTTATAAATTGAAAAAAAATAATATACAGGGTTACACCTACTACTACTACTACTTAATTTATTAATTTAAAAAAAAATAATTATATATTAATTATAAAATTATTTATTATTAATATTTTAATTCATTTTATAAACTAAATTATATGATATTTTTTTATAACAATTAACAACAAAACAAACAAAACAATTAGCTATTTATTTATTTAATAGGACTATCCTATCAAAAAATACATCATAAAACCTATATATATATACCGTATATATACTGTATATATATACTGTTATACTGTTTGTATATATATACGATACAATAGGAACCGGCGGGTTGGAGGTGAAGGGGGGGGGGTTAGGGGTTAGCCGAAAGCCCCACCTCCATCACCCCAGGCGCCAAACCAACCGCCACCATCTTCTTGGTTGCCTTTTCTAGCGTTTTTTACATACTCTCCCCTATCGTTTAGTACGTATTTCGGTATCTTTTTCTTCTTTCGTCTCTTTCGTCTCTCCTCTTCTTCATCGTCGTCGTCGTCGTCGTCGTTGAGAGACGAATACGATTTGATACCATTAGGAGCGTAACCGCCGCCACCACCACCTACTCCTACACCTCCATATCCACCGCCGCCACCACCATATCCTCCCATTCCTTGTTGTTGTCCACTATTGATGTTTGGCGATGGACCACGAGCGCCGGCACCACCACCACCACCACCACCACCACCTCTAATGGGAAGTGCTGGCGGCTGAGGATAGCCACCACCACCGCCAGCTTTACTACCTTTAGCCTTACCACCACCACCAGGAGCAGCAGCAGCAGCGGCAGCGGGAGGGGCAGTATCATCGCTACCACCAGCGGCCGCCTTAAGCCTATCATATTCTTGTTTAGTAATCTTATTGCCGTCGCCGTCAAAGTAGGTCTTCAGCGGCTCTTTTTTACGTTTATTATACTCCTGTTCGCTCAGTGGCTGTCCCTTTGAGTCGTAATAGTAGCGCAATTGATTGCCATACTTTCCGACAACACCCGCACCCGCACCACCAGCACCGGCATCTATATTATTACGATATATTATTAGTTATATTATAGATTAGTTGGGAAAGTCATATATATAACTATAACTGTTTTTCGTCGGTTTCTGTTGTTGTTGTTGTTGTTGTTGTTGTCCATCATTGCCGCCGATACCGTCGAGTGCCGAATAACTTCTAATACCGTTGTCCTGATATCCTCGTCTACCGCCTCTACCGCCACCGCCATAACCGCCGCCTCCCAATCTATTTTGACCAAATCTCTGGCCTCGGCCGCCAAAATCATCGCCCATTCCCTGTCCTCGACCTCCGTGACCTCCATAACCACCGCCACCACCGAATCGACCGGCGCCTCCTCCTCCATATCCTCGTCCTCTACCGGCTCCACCACCGCCGCCACCAAAATTGCCGCCAAGAGATGAATAACTTTTAATACCGTCGCCATAGTCGTCATAGTCTTGACCTCCTCCTCCTCCTCCTCCTCTTCTTCGTCTTCCTCCTCCTCCTCCTCCACCACCACCACCTCCTCGATGACCATTAAATCTCCCGCCACCGCGGCCTTGTTGTGTTAGACCATAACCACCATTTCGGCGACCTTGGCCACCCATTCCTCCTCCTCCTCCACCGCCGCCGCGACCGTAACCTCCATTATTGCTGGTTCTTCTAAACGGAAATTGTTTTTGTCTAACACTACCGCCACCGCCACCGCCGCCGAAGTCATTGTAAGCATTGATAAAAACTATTTTTTAATTGGTTTAAAATTTTGAATAATTAAATTAGTTTTTTTGTTTGTTTATTGAATAGTAATTTTAATAATTTTTAAAAAAATAATAATTATTAACTTATTATCTAATTATTATTATTATTATTATTATTATTGAATAAATACATTACCAATTAATGTGATAAATGTTATTAGAAATAAACAATAGTGTGACATGTTTTTATTTAAATTTATTAAAAAAAAATTGTAATTACATTATATATTTTTTTTATTAATTAATTAATTAGTTTATTATTTGATGTTTAATTAATTTTAAAAATTAATGTCCGATTTTTTTTGTGTAAAACTAAAATGTCTGTACAGTTAAATGCAAATGTGTTTTATTTTTGCAAATGTAGGAAATTTTTTGTTTGTATAATTAATTAAATAAAAATTTTATAAAATGGGCGATAAAAATGATTTCTCTCTCTCTCTCTCTCTCTCTCTCTCTCTCTCTCTCTCTCTCTCTCTCTATCCCTTAAAAAAAATTATCGACTATTATATTTAAATAACTGGTATATCATAAAAACATCTATCAATATATATATATATTACATATAGTATATACCGATATCTATAACTATAAATTTATTAATATATTAGATTAAAGATAACAACAACAAAAATTATTTAAAAAACAATTTATTTAAAAATATAGTTTTAAAATAAACAATTTTTATTTTATTTTTTTGATAACTCATTAACCAAAAAAAATTAATAAATAAAATTAACTAATAAATTACTATAATAATACACATAATAATAATAATTAATTTAGGTATATTATTATTTATTTTTTCAATAGGATATCATCAAACAAGTTAACCATAATTGTTGACCACAGGAACTGTACCATAAACTGGTTGGACGCCAACAACCGGTTGGACGCCAACAGCCGGTTGGACGCCAACAGCCGGTTGGACGCCAACAGCCGGTTGGACGCCTAAAACAGGCTGAACGCCATAGACGGGTACATAACCGCCGCTAACATAACCGGCGCCGCCGCCGCCATAATATCCGCCTTCATAACCGCCGTAATAACCGCCACCGTATCCGCCGCCACCATATCCGCCGCCACCCCAATAGCCGCCACCTCTATGGCCACGGCCTCGTCCTCCTCGATGACCATCGCCGTAGTGGACACTGATTATCACTGGATATTAATTTAAAAGAAAAAATATATACAATTATTTTGTTTGTTAGTTATTTATAATTATTATATTTTTTTAAAAAAATAATTCAATAAATAATATATTAATAGTAATTATATAGATTTTTTTTAATTGTTAGTATAACTACTATAGTATTATTTATTATTTAATATTATTATTATTATTACCAATTAATATGACATATAGTGTTATGGGTAACAAACAAAATTTTGTTGACATTTTTACTCCCTATTAGTAGTATTTATAATTAATTTATTTAAAATGTTTTATATATTTTTTTTATGATGTAGTTTTTACTAATAATGTTTAAAAAAAATTTTTGATTTTGAAAAATTTCAAATATGTTTTATAAATATTTATTTTTTAAATTAACAAAATTATTGATTTAATTTTATTTTTTGTTGTATATGTACTGTATATACATCTATAATATTTAGCATTAACTATAACTATGTTTTAGTTATATCTATTATGTATATATACAGGTATATAATAAATTGAATTATTTTTAGCCAATCAAAGTCACTGTTTGTGTGTAGGTGCTTAGTGGGGTGGTTTGGGTTATGGGTTGGATAGGTTAGGTTTAGGTTACAGGATGATTGGTAGCCCTACCCACTCATCCTAACCTACCTTTTCCTTGTGTTGACGTGTTGTGTGTGTGTGTCTATCTGTCTGTCTGTGTGTTTAAATTAATACTGTCCACACACACACACACACACACACACACACACACACACACACACACACACACACACACACACACACACACACACACACACACACACACACACACACACACACACACACACACACACACACACACACACACACACACACACACACACACACACACACACAATCAAAATGGTCATTCAAAAAGTGGCCAGTTAGCTAAATAGTATAAGTTATGTATACTTATTTTTCTATACATATATATACGTTTTGATATAACAATACATTTTAAATAATTTTAATAATTACTACATTTTCTACATACATATACATTATTATTATTTGTTGTTTAATTAATTTTTTTTAAGTATTGATAAAACAATATTTTTTATTTAGTTTCCAGTTGTTAATAAAAAAAAAATACAAATAATATACAAATAAAATTAATAACAATTAGTTTAATTAATTAATTAATTGAATCAAATATTCTACAATATATTTGGGTATATATTGAGGAATTTTTTTTTTTATTCAAATACTATTTATATATATATATATTTATTTAATATACTATTTTTTTTGTTAATAATTGTTCGCTTGAATTATGCTGGAACTGATTGTTTGCTTAGATACCTGTCCATTAGGTGCACTGGGATTTGGATTGACTCCCTGGCCACAATCAGGTGCTTGGGTTATACCATCGCTGGCTACCTATTGATGTTATGAACAAAATGTTTTAAATTATTACTATTACTATCAATATTATGATAGTATATCACATATTTTTTTGTTGTTGATCTACTGTTCCCATCGAAAACTTACCAAAGTACTAGCAGCTACCGGTGCCCGATTGGGTCCATTAGCGTCAAATAATTGGTTCAATAGATTTAGGATTTTTTTGATTTCAGCACCCACAGGTCCCGGTGCATTACCAAATAGTTGATTCAATAGGCGTACCGTACGCTTGATGTTACGGTTCAATGATCCGGGTCGATATTTTGGCGATGATAATGCTACTGCTGCTGATGATGATGCTGATGATACCGGTGCCTGATTGAATAGTTGATTCAATAGACTCAATATTTTTCTGATATCAGCACCCATAGGTCCCGGTGCATTACCAAATAGTTGATTCAATAGACGTACAGTACGCTTGATGTTACGTTTCAATGATCCGGGTCGATATTTTGATGTTGATAATGCTGCTGATGATACCGGTGCCTTATTGAATAGTTGATTCAATAGATTTAGGATTTTTTTAATTTCAGCACCCATTGGTCCCGGTGCATTTGCAAATAATTTATTCAATAGACGTACAGTACGCTTGATGTTACGTTTTAATGATCCGGGTCGATATTTTGGTGTTGATAATGCTGACGCTACCGGTGCCTTATTAAATAGTTGGTTCAATAGGGCTATAATTTTTTTGATATCACCACCCATTGGTCCCGGTGCATTTTTAAATAATTTATTCAATAAAACAATTGTACGCTTGATGTTACGTTTCAATGATCCGGGTCGATATTTTGGCGATGATAATGCTGCTACCGGTGCTTTATTGAATTGTTGATTCAATAGGCCTATAATTTTTTTGATATCAGCACCCATAGGTCCCGGTGCATTTTCAAATAGCTTATTCAATAGACCTATAATACGTCTAATGTTACGTTTCAATGATCCGGGTCGATATTTAGGCGTTGATAATGCTGGTGCTGCTGATGATACCGGTGCCTGATTGAATATTTGATTCAATAGACTTATAATTTTTTTGATATCAGCACCAATAGGTCCCGGTGCATTTGCAAACAATTGATTCAATAGCTTTATTGTACGCTTGATGTTACGTTTCAATGATCCGGGTCGATATTGTGGCGATGATAATGCTACTCCTGCTGATGCTACCGGTGCCTTATTGTATAGTTGATTCAATAGGCCTATAATTTTTTTGATATCAGCACCCATAGATCCCGGTGCATTTTCAAATAACTGATTCAATTGACCTATAATATGTTTTATGTTATCTTTGAATGATCCGGGTCGATATTTAAGCGTTGATAATACTGGTGCTGATGATGATGCCGGTTCATTATTGACTAGTTGATTCAATAGTCCAACAATTTTTCTGATATCAGCACCCAATGGTCCCGGTGCATTTCCGAATAGTTGATTCAATAGACGTACAGTACGCTTAATGTTACGGCCCAATGATCCGGGTCGATAGGTTGTCACCAGTGTCGGTGACTGACTATTGGGCACACCATTAAATAGTTGATTCAGTAGCCTGAATAGACGTTTAAGGTTACGACCCAATGATCCAGGTGCCGATCCCTGATTGGATTTACCATTCAATAATTGGTTTAGCAGCCTAAATGTACGTTTAAGATTGCGACCCAGTGATCCAGGTGCCTGTCCCTGATTTTTTCCACCATTCAATAACTGATTCAGTAACCTGAATGTTCGTTTAAGATTACGACCCAGTGATCCAGGTGCCGATCCCTGTTTGGACCCGCCATTCAATAGTTGATTCAGTAGCCTAAATGTACGTTTAAGGTTACGACCCAATGATCCTGGTGCCTGTTTGCCGGATCTACCATTCAATAGTTGATTCAATAGCCTGAAGGTACGCTTAAGGTTACGACCCAGTGATCCAGGTGCCGATCCCTGTTTGGACCCGCTATTTAGTAATTGATTCAATAGCCTGAATGTACGTTTAAGATTACGACCCAGAGATCCTGGTCTCGGTGTTTGTTTGCCGGAGGATCTACCGTTCAATAGCTGATTCAATAGTCTGAATATACGTTTAAGATTACGGCCCAATGATCCTGGTCTAGGTACCGGTGCCTTTTTGCCGGATCCACTATTCAATAGTTGATTCAGTAGCCTGAATATACGTTTAAGATTACGACCCAATGACCCAGGTGCTAGTTGACTACTATCATCTGCCGGTCGATTAAATAGTCTATTGAATAGTTTTCTACTGTTCCTAGTGTTTCGTGATCGGCGCCGTGTTGTTATTATGGATACAGGTGCATTGTTTCCACTACCAGCAGGTCTACTGATGGATACACTAGATCCCTGTCCAGCAGCAGCAGCAGGTACATTGGTTTGTACATTAGATCCCTGTCCATTAGCAGCAGCAGCAGGTACATTGGTTTGTACATTAGATCCCTGTCCATTAGCAGCAGCAGCAGGTACATTGGTTTGTACATTAGATCCCTGTCCATTAGCAGCAGCAGCAGGTACATTGGTTTGTACATTAGATCCCTGTCCATTAGCAGCAGCAGCAGGTACATTGGTTTGTACATTAGATTCCTGTCCATTAGCAGCAGCAGCAGGTACATTGGTTTGTACATTAGATCCCTGTCCATTAGCAGCAGCAGCAGGTACATTGGTTTGTACATTAGATCCCTGTCCATTAGCAGCAGCAGCAGGTACATTGGTTTGTACATTAGATCCCTGTCCATTAGCAGCAGCAGCAGGTACATTGGTTGCTAAATTAGACCCATGTCCAGCAGCAGGTGCATTATTAGTTAAACTAGATACCTGTCCAAAAGCAGCATCAACAGGTACATTGGTTGCTAAATTAGACCCATGTCCAGCAGCAGGTGCATTATTAGTTAAACTAGATACCTGTCCAACAGCAGCAGCAGCAGTAGGCACACTAGTAGTTAAGTTAGATACCTGTCCAACAGCAGCAGCAGCAGCAGCAACAGGTGCACTAGTAGTTAAATTAGATCCCTGTTCAACAGCAGCTGTAGCATTGGCCAACTGTCCATTTGTGGTACTATTGTTGTTGTTGTTGTTGTTGTTTAGATTGCTGGCCAATGATCCCGATTGTGGACTATCTACCGGTGCCGCCGCCACCGCCGCTACACTGCTATTATTATTGATAGTATTATTATTATCATTATTATTGAAAACTTGATTTTTTTCTCCTAAAGTATCACTAATCACACCATTTGTTTTGATTACTAAAACAATAACAAAAAATAATAATAAAATAAATTGTGTTTTTAAAAAAAAATAACTTAGATTTTGAAAAAAGTAATTATAATTATAATTTATAACTTAAAACATAAAATTATTAATTAAAGTAAAACTATATATAGATATATAAATTTATTTATTTATAAAAATTAGATAATTTTAAGTATATTACCAAACAATGTGATTATAGTTATGAAAAATATGTTAAATTTAAACATATTTTTTTTTGGTTTGTTTGTTAATCAATCAGTCAATTGGTATTATTATTATTATTATTATTATTATTGTCTATCGGCTCTCTCTCTCTATATAATACTAATATAAAACAAAAAATATAAGTATTATTACAAAAAAAATGAAAGAAAAACCTAATTAACTAAAACATTAGTAATCTTTCATTTTATTTTTATTATTATTGATTTAATTAATTTTTTTTTAAAAAGTTATATCGTCATAGAAAATATAAAAAATTCAATATTTAATTTCAGTTATAAATTTATATAAAAAAAAATCAAATGTTTTTTATAAAAAATATATTTTTTAAGATAATAATTTTTTAATAACTATATACTAATTTTTATTATTAATAATTATAAAAAATTATATTAACTATAATTTTATTCAAATAATTATCAAAATTAAATCTAAATATTTGTTTTGCTTAAGATTGATAAATCAATTTTAATTTTTAACAAAATAGAAAAAAATAAATATTTTACACTAAACACATATAATCTATTATTTAGTTATTAGTAAAATAAAAATATTTTTTTAAAACTATTTTAGGTTATTATACACACATATATTAGGTTAAAATACACACACAAAAAATCATCAAATATTTATAAAAAGAAATTAATTAATTAATGAAAAAAACCTATAAATAATTAACTAAAAAAATAAGTTATTTTTAAAAGATATATGAAATATGTTTTTTATTAAAAATGTAAACTTAAACGGTGGCGACAATGCTTAGATTTAAAAAAATAATTAATCTAAAATTATAAATTTATTTAAAAAAAACAATAATAATTAAATATGTTATTTGTTTGTTTATTTTGATTTTTTTTATATAATTAACTTGTCACTTTTTTTTATAAAAAATAAAATCTAATGTAAAGTTAATAAGATAATTTTTTAATCAATAGCCGCTATCATTGCTACCATTATTTAAGACACAGTTGCAAATATGGCTAAAAAAAAGTTTTTAAAAAACACATGTATATTGTAATTAAATATATTTTAATATATATTTTTTTGTAAAATGGCAACTTTTTTAGAAATTAATTAATTACTAGTCTATAGTTATTTTTTTTAAAAATAAATATATATTAATAATTAATTATAAAATATTGAAACTACTAATTGATTAGCTATTTAATAGATGTATAAATTTGAATATATATAATATATTTGTTATTCAAAATAAAATATCATTTAAGTCTAACTAAAAATATTTCATGCATTTTTAAAAAAGTTTTTAACAGTAAAAGATAATTTATATTAATTTATTTATAATTTTCTTTAAAAAAAATAACAATTTAATTTATTGTAGTTTTTAAAAATAAGATAATGTTTATTGTAAATTAAATTCGGTTAAAATTTCATTATATAAAAAATTAGATTTTTTTKTGGAATTACTTATATTAATAGAAATATAGGAAAATTTAGCATTATCATTTTTTATTTCAATTGACTGCTTTGCTATTGGGTCCATTGGAAGTGGGTCCATTGTTACTTATTCCATTTGTAGTAGGTCCATTTGTATTGGGTCCACTTGTAGTGGGTCCATTTGTAGTGGGTCCATTTGTATTGGGTCCACTTGTAGTGGGTCCATTTGTAGTGGGTCCATTTGTATTGGGTCCACTTGTAGTGGGTCCATTTGTAGTGGGTCCATTTGTATTGGGTCCACTTGTAGTGGGCCCATTTGTAGTGGGTCCATTGGTAGTGGGTCCATTGTTACTCGGTTCATTTGTAGTGGGTCCATTGTTACTTGGTCCATTGGAAGTGGCTCCATTTGTATTGGGGCTATTGGTAGTGGGTCCATTGTTACTTGGTCCATTGGAAGTGGCTCCATTTGTATTGGGGCTATTGGTAGTGGGTCCATTGTTACTTGGTCCATTGTTACTTGGTCCATTTGTAGTGGGTCTATTGGTAGTGGGTCTATTGGTAGTGGGTCCATTTGTAGTGGGTCCATTTGTAGTGGGTCCATTTGTAGTGGGTCCATTGGTAGTGGGTCCATTGTTACTTGGTCCATTGGAAGTGGCTCCATTTGTAKTGGGKCTATTGGTAGTGGGTCCATTGTTACTTGGTCCATTTGTAGTGGGTCCATTGGTAGTGGGTCTATTGGTAGTGGGTCYATTKGTAGTGGGTCCATTGGTAGTGGGTCCATTGTTACTTGGTCCATTGTTACTTGGTCCATTTGTAGTGGGTCTATTGGTAGTGGGTCTATTGGTAGTGGGTCCATTTGTAGTGGGTCCATTTGTAGTGGGTCCATTTGTAGTGGGTCCATTGGTAGTGGGTCCATTGTTACTTGGTCCATTTGTAGTGGGTCTATTGGAAGTGGGTCCATTTGTAGTGGGTCTATTGGAAGTGGGTTCATTGGAAGTGGGTCCATTGGTGGTGGGTCCATTGGAAGTGGGTCCATTGGAAGTGGGTCCATTGGTAGTGCGTTTATTGGTAGTGGGTTCATTAGTACTGGGTCCATTATCAGTAGGGCCATTGTTTGTGGGTCCATTATTAGTAGGGCCATTGTAACTGGGGCCATTATCAATAGGGCCATTGTTTGTRGGTCCATTATTAGTAGGGCCATTGTWACTGGGGCCATTATCAATAGGGCCATTGTTTGTGGGTCCATTATTAGTAGGGCCATTGTAACTGGGGCCATTATCAATAGGGCCATTGTTTGTGGGTCCATTATTAGTAGGGCCATTGTAACTGGGGCCATTATCAATAGGGCCATTGTTTGTGGGTCCATTATTAGTAGGGCCATTGTAACTGGGGCCATTATCAATAGGGCCATTGTTTGTGGGTCCATTATTAGTAGGACCATTGTAACTGGGGCCATTATTAGTAGGGCCATTGTAACTGGGGCCATTATTAGTAGGGCCATTGTTTGTGGGTCCATTATTAGTAGGGCCATTGTAACTGGGGCCATTATCAATAGGGCCATTGTTTGTGGGTCCATTATTAGTAGGACCATTGTAACTGGGGCCATTATTAGTAGGGCCATTGTAACTGGGGCCATTATTAGTAGGGCCATTGTTTGTGGGTCCATTATTAGTAGGGCCATTGTAACTGGGGCCATTATATGTAGGTCCATTGTAACTGGGGCCATTATTATACCAATTGTTGTCATAGTTATTGTTATTTCCGCCATTGTTATAGCCGCCATTGTTATAGCCGCCATTGTTATAGCCGCCATTGTTATAGCCGCCATTGTTATTGCCGCCATAGATATTTCCACCACCATAATTATTATTATTATTCCAATTTTGATTAAACTGTCCTTGTTGATTGTTATTACGACCGCCACCTAATATCCTGCCGGCTGTATCCGCCAGACCGCCCATAGCACCCAAAAAAGTGCCMACTAATGAACCAATCGGATTGGCTACAGAGCTAACCAGGCCAGTGGCTGCTCTACCTAAATTGGGTCCCAGAAACCCGCCAACACTGTTACCAAAGCCATTAGCCACTCCCTGGCCAACATTTGAGCCAGCACCAAAACCTCTAAGCATACCGTTAAATATATTTTTTAATTTTCTATCTTTTTTGCCATCACTACCACCACCACGACTACCCGGTCGGCCATTTTTATCAGCTCCTGGTTGTTGTTGTTGTTGTTGATCATCACTTAAGATTTCCGCTAAATCTTTGATTAATTGTTTAAACTTTTTAGCCAAATCTAGTTCCTCTTCATAGTTGTTATAATTATTATTATTATTATTGAAAACTTGATTTCTTTCTCCTAAAGTACCACTAATCACACCATTTGTTTTGATTACTAAAATACAATCAATTAATTAAATTAGTAATTAAATTGTTAAATAGAAAAAGTTATTATAAATTATGATATTATATATTAAATTATAGATATTTTTTTTAAGTATTATAATATAGATATTAATTTTTAAGTATAATTATAATATATTACCAAACAATGTGATTATAGTTATGAAATATATGTATAATTTAGACATATTTTATTTGCTAACTATTGAGACAATTGGTATTATAGTTGATGTCTATAAACTCAATATACTGTATAATACAAAAAAAAWAAATRTTTCTATAATTAAAAATTCAAAATAAATCAAATCATTAATAATCATTCATTTTATTTATATTTTTATCATTGATTTAATTAATATTTTTTTTGCAAAAAAAAAGTTATATCGTCATAAGAAATAATTTTTTTATAAATTTTAATTAAAAATGTTAAAAAGTCAATGGCGGCAGCGGTGGCGACAATACTAATGCTAAGATTTTTAAAAAAAATAATAATTAAAAATAAATTATAAGTTTTTTTAAAAAATCGCAATAATAAGTAAATATGTAATTTGTTTATTTTGATTTTTATTTAAAAATTAACATCACATTTTTTTAATAAAGTAAAGTTAATATGATAATTTTTTAAAATAAATATCTAAGCCACTTATGATTATTTAAGACACGGTTTTAAATATGGCTAAAAAATGTTATAAACATTAATTTTTTTGCAAAATAATAACAAAAAATTTTCTAGAAAAATCCTAWTTAATTACTAGTCTATATTTTTTTAAAAAATAAAATAAATATATTAAAAATTAATTATAAAATATTGAAACTACTGATTGATTAGTTATTTAATACAATTGAATACATGATTTAGATATTTTTTTTTGGTATATAACAGTAAAAGATAATTTATAATAATTTATTTATAATTTTCTAGAAAATAAATAACAATTTAATTTAATGTAGTTTTTGAAAATAAAATTTTTTTATTATAAAAATAAAATTCTTTAAAATTTCATTATACAAAAATTAGTTTATTTTTATAGCTATTTCTTATATTAATAAATACCTACAAAAATTTAGCATTAGCAATTTTTATTTCAATTGACGGCTTTGCTATTGGTGCTAGTGTTTGTGGGGGCATTGTTTGTGGGGGCATTGTTTGTGGGGGCATTGTTTGTGGGGGCATTGTTTGTGGGGGCATTGTTTGTGGGGGCATTGTTTGTGGGGGCATTGTTTGTGGGGGCATTGTTTGTGGGGGCATTGTTAGTGGGGGCATTGTTTGTGGGGGCATTGTTTGTGGGGGCATTGTTTGTGAGGGCATTGTTTGTGGGGGCATTGTTAATGGGGGCATTGTTAGTGGGGGCATTATTAGTAGGGCCATTATTAGTAGGGCCATTATTAGTAGGGCCATTATTAGTTGGGCCATTATTAGYTGGGCCATTATTAGTGGGTCCATTGTTTGTGGGTCCATTGTTTGTGGGTCCATTGTTTGTGGGTCCATTGTAACTGGGTCCATTATTAGTAGGGCCATTGTACCTGGGTCCATTATTAGTAGGGCCATTGTAACTGGGGCCATTGTTTGTGGGTCCATTGTAACTGGGTCCATTATTAGTAGGGCCATTGTTTGTGGGTCCATTATTAGTAGGGCCATTGTTTGTGGGTCCATTATTAGTAGGGCCATTGTAACTGGGTCCATTGTTAGTAGGGCCATTGTAACTGGGTCCATTGTTAGTAGGGCCATTGTTAGTAAGGCCATTGTAACTGGGGCCATTGTTTGTGGGTCCATTATTAGTAGGGCCATTGTAACTGGGGCCATTGTTTGTGGGTCCATTATTAGTAGGGCCATTGTACCTGGGTCCATTATTAGTAGGGCCATTGTAACTGGGTCCATTGTTAGTAGGGCCATTATTAGTAGGGCCATTGTAATTGGGGCCATTATTATACCAATTGTTGTTGCCATAGTTATTGCCGTTATTGTTATTTCCGCCATTGTTATAGCCGCCATAGTTGTTACCGCCATTGTTATTGCCGCCATTGTTATAGCCAAAATTGTTATTGCCGTTATTGTTATTTTGGCCATAGCTATTTCCGCCATAGTTATTATTATTGTTATTATTCCAATTTGGATTAAACTGTCCTTGTTGATTGTTATTACGACCGCCACCTAATATCCTGCCGGCTGTATCCGCCAGACCGCCCATAGCACCCAAAAAAGTACCAACTAATGAACCAATCGGATTGGCTACAGCGCTAACCAGGCCAGTGGCTGCATTACCTAAATTGGGTCCCAGAAACTGGCCCACACTGTTACCAAAATTATTAGCCACTCCCTGGCCAACATTTGAGCCAGCACCGTAACCGTTAAGCATACCGTTGAATATATTTTTTAATTTTTTATCTTTTTTGCCATCACTACCACCACCACGACTACCAGTTTTTTCAGCTCCTGGTTGTTGTGGTTGATGTGTTGTTGATCATCGCTTAGGACTTCCGCTAAATCTTTGATAAGTTGTTTAAATTTTTGAGCCAACTCTAGTTCCTCTTCATACTTATTATTATCACTAATCACACCATTGATTACTAAAACAAAACAAAAAAAAATTAAATTTAAATAAATTAATAATTAAATTGCTGTTCAATAAAACAAAGAACTTAGAATTAAAAAAATAAATTAAAAAAAATTATTATAATTTAAAAAAAAAAATTACAATTAAAACAATTAGAAATTAAATATAAAACTATTATTTATTTTTAATTATAATATTACCAAACAATGTGATTATTGTTATGAAATATATGTAAAATTTATACATTTTATTATTATTATTATTTGTTAACTATAGAGAGACAATTGGTATTATAGTTGATGTCTATAATCTCAATATACTTTATTATACAATAAAAATTTAGAAAATAATTTTTACAAAAATTAAAACTATAATTAAAAATGAAAGAAATTCAACTAAATCATTAATTAATCTATCATTTTATTTTTTTAATTGATTTAATTAATATTATTTTTGCAAAAAAAAAAGTTATATCGTCATAGCAAAATAAAAATTGTGTTAATTTTAATTTAAAAATGTTAAAAGTCTTAAGTCAATGGCGGCAACGGTGGCGACAATGCTATAAAAAAATAATAATAATTAATCTTAAATTATAAAAAATTATTTAAAAAATATCAAAATAAATAAATATGTTATTTGTTTATTTTGATTTTTTTTTTTAAAATTAACTTGCCACTTTTTTTTAATAATGTTAAGTTAATAAAATAATTTTTAAACTAAATAGCTAAGCCATTATCATAATTGCTGTCTGTATTTAAGACACAGTTTCAAATATGGCTAAAAAAAAGTTTTTTTAAAAAAAAAACATCTACTAATTATTTCGTAAAATAGCAACTAAAATTTTCTGAATAAAAAAACTAATTAATTACTAGTCTATAGTTTATTTTTTTTTTAAATAAATATATTATTAATTAATTATTATATAAAATATTGAAAATTGATTAGTTAGTTATTTGCTACTAATGCAACTAATTTTTGTATAATAAAATTTTAAATAATTTAATTTTTACAATTGAATATATAATTTTGATATTTTTTTGGGGGAAATAACAATAATAAGATAATTTATATTAATTTATTTATAATTTTCTTTAAAAATAAATAACAATTTAATTTAATGATAATAAAATATTGTTTATTGTAAAAATTAAAATATTTAAAATTTCATTATACAAAAATTAGTTGCATTTTTTTTGCAATTTTTTATATTAATAGATACATACAGTAAAATTTAGCATTATCAATTTTTATTTCAATTGACGGCTTTGCTATTGGTGCTATTGTTAGTCTTAGTACCGCCATTGCTATTGGTGCCATTATTAGTGGGACCATTTTTAATTGGGCCATTTTTAGGTGGGCCATTGTTAGGTGGGCCATTGTTAGGTGGGCCATTATTAGGTGGGCCATTATTAGGTGGGCCATTTTTAGGTGGGCCATTATTAGGTGGGCCATTATTAGGTGGGCCATTTTTAGGTGGGCCATTATTAGGTGGGCCATTATTAGGTGGGCCATTTTTAGGTGGGCCATTGTTAGGTGGGCCATTGTTAGGTGGGCCATTGTTAGGTGGGCCATTTTTAGTTGGGCCATTGTTAGGTGGGCCATTTTTAGTTGGGCCATTGTTAGGTGGGCCATTATTAGGTGGGCCATTGTTAGGTGGGCCATTGTTAGGTGGGCCATTTTTAGTTGGGCCATTGTTAGGTGGACCATTGTTAGGTGGGCCATTATAATTAGGTCCATTATTATTCCTGTTAGTAGGGCTATTGTTGTTGCCATAGTTATTGCCACCATTGTTATAGTAACCATTATTATTGCCACCATTGTTATTGCCGCCATAGTTATTACCGCCATTGTTATAGCCGCCATTGTTATTGCCGATATTATTATTGCCACCATAGTTATTACCGCCATTATTATACCCGCCATTGTTATTGCCGTAATTGTTATTGCCGCCATAGTTATTGCCGCCATTGGTATAGCCGCCATTGTTATTGCCGTAATTGTTATTGCCGCCATAGTTATTGCCGCCATTGGTATAGCCGCCATTGTTATTTCCGCCATTGTTATTGCCACCATAAGTATTGCCGCCATTGTTATAACCTCCATTGTTATTGCCGCCGTTGTAATTGCCGCCAAAGTTATTGCCGCCATTGTTACCAAACTGTCCTTGTTGATAGTTATTACGACCGCCACCTAATATATTGCCCGCTGTATCCGCCAGACCGCCCATAGCACCCAAAAAAGTGCCCACTAATGAACCAATCGGATTGGTTACAGCGCTAACTACGCCAGTGGCTGCTCTACCTAAATCGGGTCCCAGAAACCCGCCTACACTGTTACCAAAGCCATTGGCCACTCCCTGGCCAACATTTGAGCCAGCACCGTAACCGTTAAGCATACCGTTGAATATATTTTTTAATTTTTTATCTTTTTTTCCACCACCTGGTTGTTGATCATCGCTTAGTATTTCAGCTAAATTTTTGATCAGTTTTTTAAACTTTTTAGCCAACTCTAGTTCCTCTTCTTCATAGTTGTCATAATTATTATTATAATTATAATTATTTTTATAATTATTGAAAACTTGATTACTTTTTTCAATAGTATTACTAATCACACCATTTGTTTTGATTACTAAAATAAAACAATAAAAAAAATAAATAGTAAAACAATTGTTGTTAAAAAACATAACTTAATTAAAAGTTATTATAATTTTTTAAATTATAATTTAAAAATTAAATAGAGATTAAAATAACTATTATTTATTAAATTATAAATATTATTATTTTTAATTATTATAATATAGATAATAATATTTAAATATATTTAGGTTATTACCAAACAATGTGATTATTGTTATGAAATATATGTAAAATTTAAACATTTTATTATTATTTTATTTGTTAACTATAGAGTCAATTTATATTATTTTTTGTTGTCTATAGGCTATCACTATATAATATAACAAAATAGGAAAACAATTTTTTAAAATTTTTTTTACTATAACTAAATGAATGTAAAATTCTATATTAACTAAAATATAAAATTTATAAATCTTTAAATTTATGATTTAATTTATTGTTATTAATTAAATAATTTTTTTATGTAAAAAAGTTATATCGTCATAGAAAATGCTAAAAATAAATTTTGAAATATTTAATTTCAGATTCTAAAATTAGATAAATCAAATGTTTTTTTTAAAATATTTTTATTAAATAATATTTTAAATAATATTTTAAAAATAATAACTATTATTATGTACTTAATATATTAATAATTGTAAAAATTATTTTAAATATATTTTTACACAATTAAATAACATAATAATATATATATATGACATTATATTAGATATTTTATAAGTTAATATTATCTAAAGTAATTTTAATTGTAAACAAAATACTAAAAAATAAATAAATAATTTTGAATAAATTTATTTTACATTAAGCATATATATATTATATTATTATTATATTATTATTAAAATAAAAAATAATGTTATTTTAAATTATTATATACAAAAAAAAACTCAAAATTACTTTATTTTAAAAATGCATAAAATATTATTTTTTAAACTAAAATTGTATTGAATTTTAATTTAAAAAAATATTATATTAGTCATAAACTATGACGGCATCGGAAGCATTGCTAATATAAATCTAAAAATAGTTGTTTTTATTTTTAATTATTATTTTTAAGTTAATAAAATAATTTTAATCAATAGCATAGCCGCTAATAATAATATTGTCGCCGCAGCCGCCATTATTTAAGTTTTCATTTTCAAATATGGCTTAAAGTCTAGAAACATCTATATATTAATTTTTTTAATAAAACTAAAATTTACTTAAAACCTAATTAATTGTCATAATAATAGATCTAATTAAATTTTCTATAAGATTTTATAAGATTTATTCACTATATTAAAGTAAAAAATTATTAATCATTTACTAACAAAAATTTACTACAAAATAAATTACAATAAATTTGCAATAAGTTTTCAAAATAATACAATGTTTATTATTAATTAAATTTAGTGAAATTTTAGTATACAATAATTAGATTCATTTTATTGTAACTTTTTATAATTATTTGAGACATAGGATAATTTAACCTTAGCCATTGTAATTTGGATTGCCGCCATTGTTATTGGGGCCATTGCTATAGCCGCCATTGTTATTGCGGCCATTGCTATTCTGGCCATTGTTATTCTGGCCATTATTATTCTGGCCATTGTTATTCTGGCCATTATTATTCTGGCCATTGTTATTCTGTCCATTGTTAAAGCCGCCATTGTTATTGCGACCATTGTTATTCTGGCCATTATTATTCTGGCCATTATTATTCTGGCCATTATTATTCTGGCCATTATTATTCTGGCCATTATTATTCTGGCCATTGTTAAAGCCGCCATTGTTATTCTGTCCATTGTTAAAGCCGCCATTGTTGTTCTGGCCATTATTATTCTGCCCATTGTTATTCTGTCCATTGTTATAGCCGCCATTGTATCCACCACCATTATTATTATTATAAGTCTGCTGATTATTTTGACTAAACTGTCCTTGTTGATTATTATTGCCACCCAAACCCAGTACATTACCAGCCGTATCCGCCAGACCTCCGGTCCCACCTAGAAAAGTGCCTACTAGTGCACCAGCCGGTGCGGTAAACATATTGACCATATTGCCGGCTAGATTACCAAGTTGTGGTCCGAGAACACCTGTCACACCATCGCTAACTGTCCTACCCATAGCTGAACCAACTTGTAAGCCGGCATCGGCTCCCCTATACATACCGTTGAAAACATTTTTTAGTTTTTTATCTTTTGTGACAACTCCTCCACCAAATAAAGCCGGTTGTTGTTGATTATCGTTTAGGATTTCCGACAATATTTTGATTAGTAGTTTAAACTTTTTGGCCACTTTTAGTTCGTCATCACTATTATCATTATTGGTGTCCGCATTGATTGTTGTTGTTGTAATTACTTAAAAAAAAAGTTTTTATTTTTTATTTTTAGAAAAAAATTAAATAATTTAAGAAAAAATTAAAATAATTTTTTTTTTATTAATATTAATAACTTTTAAAAGCTAATAATAATTACCAAACAATGTTAGTATAGTTGTTAGACATATAATGTTTAGTTTAGACATATTTCTATAGAAATTATTTATATATTATGTTATAATAAATAGCTTATAAAGTATAAACAACTTAGTTTAGCTGAATGTAAAACTTAACTAAATGTTTGGTTAGCTTTTTTTGTTAGTTAATTATATAATTTTAAAAATATATATTAATTTAATTAAAAAAATATATTTTTAGAAAATAATTTTAATTAGATATCTATAAATATACATATATTTACGTTTAAAGACTTACATAATTTTATCGGTAATATCTGAGTTGCTAAAGGGGGTGGGGGTAAAACCTCTTACCCCCTGAGATGTCAAAAAAAATTAGGGGGACCCTACCAATTTTTTTTATCTTTGTAAAATTTTGTATTAAACCAAAAAAAATAAATATTAAATTAGTTTTTTTAATTTTTATAGCTTTTATATACAAAATAAATTGATAATAATACTATTTAACATTTTTTTACACTAAATAATATCGTAATATATGTAACATAATTGTTTTTATATTAAAAAACATAAAAATAATTTATTTTGAATTTATTGGGAAATTATTGGGAATATATACTTAAAGTTGGCAAAAATTATTGTTTAAATTAAGCAATAAAAAAAATTCATCCCCTATACCCCCAAGTTTTATCGATATTTTTGCCAATTTACCCCCTATACCCCCCTTGAAATGGAAAAACCTATAGCAACCCTGGGTAATATATAGATATGATTTGAAGTGTTTTTTTTTATAAAAATGGCTAAAAATGTGTGTGTTATTATAATACAATAAGTTTACATATATTTTTACAATAATTACATATAATTATATATTTTGATTTATAAACACATATTTTTGTTGTAAATATATTATATGTTTTATATATTTAATCTAATAAAGAGATTTAAATTTTATATAATTCAGATATTTATTATTCATATTTAATAACAATATTTTACATATTTTTAGTTACAATTACTACAAATTTTATTTATTTTTAATTATTTATATTATATTGAGATGATATTCACATATATTGTTGAAATCTTTAATTATAATTATTAACAAACAAAGAGATCATATAATTATAAAAAAAATATATAAAATTTATAAATATTTTTGTTTGTCTATACTATAGACTCTATACTATAACTAATTTTACATTAAGTACATAATATACTCTATTAGTTTGTTATTATTAAAATAAATAAAGTTATAAAATAATAGAAAAAATAACAATAATATCATAAATATTTGACTTATTTTTTTCTATTAATAAATTACAAAAAAAAAATCTATAAAAATATTATTTTTTTATAAAATATGTTTTTTTAATTAAAAAATGGACTAATTAATAAACAATGGCGGCAGCAATGCTAATAATTAGTTATAATTTACTAACTGATAAATAATAATTAGTAACTATTTAAGTTGTTTATTTTGATTTTTTAAAATTAACTTGTAACTTTTAAATAAAAAATATCAAAATAAATTTAAAATAAGATAATTCAAATCAATAGCATAGCAACAATACTGCAGCCGCCATTACTTTTAAACTAAATTATAAATATGGCTGAAAGTTTTGAAAATGTGTATATTATAATTAGATATATTAATATATTATTTTTTCAATAAAAAATGGCTACTGAAATTGTCAATAAATTTAATTAATTACTAGTTTAAAGATACTAATAGTTTTGACTTATTTTTTGTTATATTAATATTGATATTTCACTAAAAAAATAATTTATATTAATTTATATATTTTTTTATAGAAAATAAATAACAATAAATTTATTTTTGGATTTCAAATTAAGATTTTTTTATTAATTAAATTTTGTTAAAATTCATTATAAAAAAATTTATATTTATTTTTGTTATCTCTTTTAAATTTTCTATTATAATTATAGATTATATAGAAAAATTTAATCTTTAGCCATTGAAATTTGAATTGCCGCCATTGTTATTGGGGCCATTGTTATTGCCGCCATTGTTATTGGGGCCATTGTTATTGGGGCCATTGTTATTGGGGCCATTGTTATTCGGGCCATTGTTATTCGGGCCATTGTTATTCGGGCCATTGTTATTACCGCCATTGTTATTTTGACCATTACCACTCCAATTGTTATTTGGGCCATTGTTATTGCTGCCATTGTTATTTTGTCCATTACCATTCCAATTTGGGTTACCGTTATTGCCGCCATTGTTATTCCAGTTGAAACCATTGTTTCCATCATTGCCACCACCACCACCATCTAAACCACCAAAACCACCAAGCAAGTTAGCACCCGTATCAGCTAGACCACCACCACCACCACCAATAATAAGCCTAGAAAGGCGCCACCCGGCCTGGTTACAGCGCTAGCTAAGTTAGTGGCCATGTTTCCAATTTCCGGACCAAAAACATTGCCTAAACCATTACCGAAATTTTTAGCCACATGATCGCCAACTTGATCGCCAGCTATACTTCCCACAAGCGCACCGTTAAAAACATTTTTTAGTTTTTTATCATTACTGATAACAACAACATGAGTCTCAACTTTCGGTATTGGTATTAGTTTTTTGATCATCGTTTAGGATATGGGCCAACAATTTGATTACTAGTTTAAACTTTTTGGCCACATTTATTTCGTCATCATTATTATTATTATCCCTGATAATTTATCAGCATTGATTGTTGTTGTAATTACTTGTAATGTTTTGGTTAAAAAAATTATTATTAATATATATATATATAATTAGTTTAGTATTTTAGTTTCAAAAAAATAAAATTAATACTTAATATAATATATAAATAATAATATAAATAAATAATATTCTATATAAAAAATAATATAATAATTACCAAAAAATGTTAGTATAGTTGTTAAACATATAATGTTTAGTTTAGACATATTTCTATAGAAATTATTTTTGAAAAATAATAATAAATAGCTTATAAATTATAGACAACTTAGTTTAGCTGAATGTAAAACTTAAGTAAATGTTTGGTTAGCTTTTTTTGTTAATTAATTAAATAATTTTTAAAATCAATATATAAAAAAATATGGCTGAAAGTTATGAAAACATGTATATTTTAATTAAATATATTAATATATTTTTTCAAAAAATGGCTACTAAAATTATCTATAAATTTAATTAATTTTAAAGATACTAATATATTTGACTTATATATTTTGTTATATAACAATAAAAAAAATCGTTTATATTAATTAATAATAAAAAAATTAATAACAATGATTTTGTTTTTTAGATTTCAAATTAATATGTTTTTTTATTAATTAAATTTTGTTAAAATTCATTATACAAAATTAACTTATATTTATTTATGTTATCTCTTTAAATTTTAGATATATAGGAAAATTTAGCATTTAGCCATTGAAATTTGAATTGCCGCCATTGTTGTTATTGGGGCCATTATTCCAATTGTTGCCATTATTATTTTGACCATTGTTATTTTGGCCATTATTATTCCAATTGTTTCCATTGTTATTTTGGCCATTACCATTCCAATTGTTGTTGCCATTGTTATTTTGACCATTGTTATTTTGACCATTGTTATTTTGACCATTGTTATTGCCGCCATTAGCATTCCAATTGTTTCCATTGTTATTTTGACCATTACCATTCCAATTGTTGTTACCATTGTTTCCATTGCCACCACCACCACCTAGACCAAACACGTTACCAAACGTATCAGCTACACCGCCTGCAATACCAATACCACTGCCTAAAACACCACCAACCGGAATGGTAACAATGTTAGCTAATCCGGTGACCGCATTTCCAACTCCAGGTCCGAATAAGCCGCCAACACCATCACCTAGATTTTTTGACAATTGTTGGGCAACTCCTACGCCAGCAAAACCTCCTCCAAACGCACCGTTCAAAGCATTTTTTAGTTTTTTATCTTTTTGGACAACTCCTCGACCACTTCCAGCTCCCGGTTGTTGTTGTGGTWGTTGTTGATCATCGTTTAGTACATGAGCCAACAATTTGATTACTTGTTTAAATTTTTTGGCCAACTCTAGCTCGTCCTGATTGTCATTGACGTCCGCATTGATTGTTGTTGTTATTACTTTTGTAGTTTGTTTTGGTTAAAACAAAAAAAAAATTTATAAAAAAAATATGAAAATAATTATTTTTTTTTAATTTCAAAAAATAAAATTAATACTTTTAATACAATATCTTAATAATAATATAAATAAATAAAATCCTAAAAAAATAATAATAATAATTACCAAACAATGTTAGTATAGTTGTTAGACATATAATGTTTAGTTTAGACATATTTCTATAGAAATTATATAAAAAATAGCTTATAAATTATAGACAACTTAGTTTAGCTGAATGTAAAACTTAACTAAATGTTTAGTTTGATTTTTGTTAGTTAATTATATAATTTTCAAAATGAATATAAATATATATTAATTTAATTAAAAATATTTATTTTTAATATTAATTTAACTTAGATATCTATATTTACTGTTAAAGTCAGCTATTACAAATAATTACGTTATTATAATTAAAAATACAATATAATTGTACAACTTAAATATTTATTATACTAATAATCCTAAAAAAATTACTATAGTATAATAATAAATATTTAAGTTATTTTTTCTATTAGTAAATAACCAAGATATTTATATATATATATATTATTTTTTTTAAATAAAATATTTATTTTTAATTAAAATTGTGTTAATTTTAATTAAAAAATGGACTAATTTATTAAAAAAAAATGGCGCCAGCGGCAGCAACGATAATGTTTAGATTATTTTGTTATAAAAATAACGTTATTTTATAATTTGTATTTGTAATGATTAGCATATTGTTTATTTTTGATTTTTTTAGAAAATTAACTTGTAACTTTTAAATAAAAAAATCAAAGTTAATAAGATAATTTTAGTTAATAGCATAGCAACAATACAGCCGCCATTATATAAGAAACTCAGTTTCAAATATGGCTGAAAGTTATGAAAACATGTATAATTTAATTAAATATATCAATATATTTTTTTCAAAAAAATGGCTACTAAAATTTAATTAATTACTATTTTGAATATACTAATAGATTTAACCTATTTTTTTTGTTATAAAACACTAAAAAATCGGAATTTATTTGTATTTTTCTAGAAAATAAATAACAATGAATTTGTTTTTTTTAATTTCAAATTAAGATGTTTTTTTATTTATTAAATTTTGTTAAAATTCATTATAAAAAAATTAACTTATATTTATTTATGTTATCTTTTTAAATTATAAAAATATATATGAAAATTTAGTTTTTAGCCATTGAAATTTGAATTGCCGCCATTGTTATTCTGGCCATTGTTGTTGTTGGGGCCATTGTTATTAGGGCCATTATTATTCCAATTATTGCCATTATTATTTTGACCATTGTTATTCTGGCCATTACCATTCCAATTGTTGCCATTGTTATTCTGGCCATTGTTATTTTGACCATTGTTATTTTGACCATTGTTATTGCCGCCATTATTATTCCAATTATTTCCATTGTTATTTTGACCATTACCATTCCAATTGTTGTTACCATTGTTTCCATTKCCACCACCACCACCACCACCTAAACCGCCAAAACCACCAAAACCACCAAGCAAGTTAGCACCCATATTAGCTGCACCGCCTAGGCCACCAATACCACTGCCTATAAGAGCGCCACCCGTAGTGGTAATAGCGCCAGTAACTCCGCTGATCAAATTTCCTACTTCCGGTCCTAGAAAGTTGCCAACACTTCTGCCGAAATCATTTCCCACTTGTTGGCCAATACGTGCGCCAATCATACCTCCCCCAGCCGCACCGGCAAAAACATTTTTTAGTTTTTTATCTTTTTGGACAACTCCTCGACCACTTCCAGCTTGAGGTTGTTGTTGTGGTTGTTGTTGTTGTTGTTGATCATCGTTTAGTACATGAGCCAACAATTTGATTACTTGTTTAAATTTTTTGGCCAACTCTAGCTCCTCCTGATTGTCATTGGCGTCCGCATTGATTGTTGTTGTTATTACTTTTGTAGTGTTTTGGTTAAAAAAAATTTTTATTAAAAAAATATTAAAATAATTATTTGTTTTTAGTTTCAAAAAAAATAAAATTAATACTTTAATATAATACTTTAATAATAATATAAATAAATTAAATTATCTATAATAATAATTACCAAACAATGTTAGTATAGTTGTTAGACATATAATGTTTAGTTTAGTCATAATTCTATAGAAATTATTAAATATTTAATAATTTTAAAATTATAAATAATAATAATTATAAATATAGATAACTTGATTTAGCTGAAACTAAAATCTAACTAATGTATAGTTAGTTTTTTTAAAAAAAAGTTAATTATATGATATTTTTTGTGTATTAAATTAAAATTATAATTAATATAAATATGTTTTTTATTAGCAAATAGACGTCAACTAAAAATTTTAGTAAAAACTAAATTGATATCAATTTCATTGGACGGATGTAAGCAAATGTTTTTTTAAATTTATTAAAACTTAAGTTAAATTTTTTTTTTATTGTTTAATATTATATTTCATATTAAATTCTAGTCATAAATAATTTAGAAAAATAACAATTATATATAAATTTATATTTGTATTTTAGATTAAATTATTAGTTATTTTTTTTTTGTTGATCAGACAATAGTTTTCAGTAATAAACTATATTATACTAAATTATAAAAATAAAATAAAATTTTATTTATAATTAATAAAATAGTAATAAATAGAGATTTTTGAAAAACAAATTTTTAATTAAAAAAAAAGTATATTAACGTCATATAAAATTCAATATCACTTTTAATTACAGATGTTTTTTATTGTCTTAAAATTTTATTTTATTAAAATAAAATACTTATTAATTAAACTATTTTGTTATTGTATAATAAATATTATATTAGTAATAATAAATCTATTAAATAAATATTAAACTATTATGATTTAAAAAAAATTATTAATTTAATAATTAACTTTAATTTTAACTTACAAAAGATAAAATAAAGTTCAACATTTCAAAAATTTTTTAAATAAAATGTTTATAATTTTAACTAAATATTTTTAGTATATTTTTTTAATAACAACTTATTTTTTTTAATATGCATATGTAAGGTATGCTTTTATTAATAAGTATTATATTATGTAAAAAATCTAATATATTTAAAAACAATAAATATCTAAAAAAATAATTATAATTTCTTATAATATATATATATAAAGAGTAAAATTTAATTAAAATATAAAGTTTAACAATAATTTAATAACAAAATTTAGTCTAACAAATATTTTATATTAATTTTATTCTCTAATGTTATAATATTGCCAAATACGGTATATTTTAATTTAATTTATGATATAAAGTAAATTAAAAGTAATTTATAAAATGTTTTAAGTATTTTAATTAATTAATGTCTCATGTATTGCTATCTATTAATGAAATTTGTTAACTTAAATAAATTGTTTTTAAAAAATAAATAATAAATAATTGCTTAGTTAGTTAGAAAATAGTAGATAATAAATGAGAAACTATTTTTTTTAAACACACACACAAATACACACATACACATACATACATACACATACACATACACACAAATACACACACATACACACACATACACACACATACACACACATACACACACATACACACACATACACACACATACACACACATACACACACATACACACACATACACACACACACACACACACACACACACACATACACACACATACACACACATACACACACATACACACACACACACACACACACACACACATACACACACACACACACATACACACACACACACACATACACACACATACACACACATACACACACATACACACACACACACACACACACACACACACACACATACACACACATACACACACATACACACACATACACACACATACACACACATACACACACATACACACACATACACACACATACACACACATACACACACATACACACACATACACACACATACACACACACACACATACTCACACATACACACACATACTCACACATACTCACACATACACACACATACTCACACATACTCACACATACACACACATACACACACTTACAATAATTATATAAAGCAAAAAACAATATTTTTCAAATATTTTATTCATTTAAAACATATTGATTATTCAATTTTAATCTTTTAATTCCTTGGTATATAAACTGTTTGCTGTTGTAATTTAGTAAATATCTGGAAGTTTTCGGTTTTGGTTTTCAATCGTTCATAAAGTAGCTTTAATATATCATCAGATAATTCATAATTAGTTTTATTAATTACTTGTAATTTAAACGCATCATAATCAATATAACCATAAATTATAAAATTGATAGACTTGATATGACCATTAACATCATTAATATTGATAGTATAATTAACATAATTTCTATTTTGAACATTAACACCAGCATTACCAATGATAACAACTCTACTACCACCATTTTGACTTCCACCATTTTGACTTCCACCATTTTGACTACCACCATTTTGACCACCACCATTTTGACTACCACCATTTTGACCATAACCATTTTGACTACCACCATTTTGACTTCCACCATTTTGACTACCACCTTTACCACCAACATTTATATTATCAAGTATATTAATTCCATTACCACCAATTCCACCATTTTGACTACCACCATTTTGACTACCACCATTTTGACTACCACCATTTTGACTACCACCTTTACCACCAACATTTATATTATCAAGTATATTAATTCCATTACCACCAATTCCACCATCATTTATATTACTACCTTGATTTCTATTCTTTATTAGTCTTTTAAGAAGATCTTCTAAATCTTTTTTATTTATATGTATTAAATCTGGTTTATCAAGTAATGTTTTTAGATCGATTTTCCTAATAGTTATCAGATCATTATCATCAGCATTACTACCACCAGTTTGACCGCCATTTTGATTATTAGCTTCTTTTTTTAGTACACTTCGTAGATTGCCTTTTGTAATAGTTATCAGATCATTATTATTATTATTATTATTATTGTTGTTGTTATTGTAGTTGTTTTTATTGTTGTTGAAGTTGTTATTGTTGTTATTGTTGTTGTTATTGTTGTTGTTGTTGTTGTTGTTGTTGTTATTGTTGTTGTAGTTGTTATTATTATTATTAAAATTAGATTTTAATTTTTTATCATTTCTTGCAACTCTTTGTCCGCCATTTTGTTCAGATTGTTTTTTAAGGATTTCCGAAAAAACTTTGACCAGTAGTTTGTATTTGTTATTCAACTCTAATCCATCCAAGTCTTCATCGTTATTGTTGTCGTTGTTGTTGTTGTTGTTGTTGTTTCTAACAATTTCTTTATTTGTCTGAATGTCTAAACCATTGATATTGTTTGTAATTACTGTTGTAATGGAGGAGAGAAAAAAACAAATTAATTATTTTTAATATTTAAAATAAATAATAATATATTTAAAAAATAATAGTTTTGAATAATCTAATAATAATAATAGTATCTAAAAAAATTATTAATAATATACCAAACAATGTAAAAACAGTTAGAAATATTATGTTTAATCTTAACATAATTGTTGTTTTTGTTTTTTATTTTTACACTTTTTTTTATTATTATAATTGTTAGCCTATAATACTAATAAAACTAAATAATAATTATTATTATCATATAACTGTATCCATAAACTAAAATCAACTAAATTATTTTTTTTATAAAAATATCTAATACTGTTTAGTATATAGTATTATATTAATTAAAAATGTTTTTTTTTCATATAAAACACTAATATAGACGTCAAATGTTGTTATAGAAACATTAAAAATAATAAATAAGTTATTAATTAAATTATTATTTTGTTTTCTAAACTATTGGCTGACTTCCACGTAATCATAGAAAATAAAATTTGATTTTTGATTTTTTTTATAGACCTATACTATTACTACTACTACTACTACTAGATTACTAGTTATATAAATATTTAGAAACTTATAGTTAATATATTAATAAAAAAATTAAATAACAATAAACAACAATCAGGCTCATCAGGTATCGAACACAGATTATCGTACTATTATAGTTTATATGTTGTTTATCATAGACCTTAGCTTTGATAACCAACTAAATAATTATAAATTTCAAAACTATATATAATTAATACAATTAAAAAAAATTACGCTAATAAAAATCATTTCAATGAAAAAATGCGCTAAAAATTGTATGCAATTAATACCATCTGAATGTCTAAACCATTGATATTGTCTGTAATTACTAGACTGACCACCCATACAGGTGCCACCTGTATCATACAGGAAACAAGGGTTACATACAGGCGACAGGAAAGGGGTTAACCTGTATAATGTAGTATACAGGTTTGATAAACTATAAAACTGTAATGCTATACAATATTACTTGTGATATACTGTATGTTCAAATAAAATAAAGTTCAATATTAAAATTTGTTGACAAATACTAGAGAATAAGTAATATTTAGGTAATAAATATTTTTTAATATTCATAAAATACATTTTTAGTAAAAACACGTTTTATGAAACAAACTTTATTTACAAGTGTGTGATTTGTTATTAATTATCATCAAATTATGGCATCAAAATCTAAAAGAGGTTTAAATTCATTTCAAGAAAATTGGTTGAAAATTAGTGAATACAAAAACTGGTTACAAAAAAGTGATGATTTAACCGCATTTTGTGGTTATTGTAAAAACTCATTTACTATCAAATATGAAGGTATATCTGCAATTAAGACACACTTGACATCAAATCGACATAAAACTAGTGCCCAATCGGTAAATATGTGTCAATCATTAAATAAATTTGTAACCAAAGTTTCTACGGATGAAAAATCATTAGCAATTTGTGATCTATGTTTTACCTATCATTCAATATCACACAATTTAAGTTATCGTTCAAGTGATTGCGATGTTAAACTAATAAAAACTGTAATAAATGACTCTAATATTGTTAAACAACTTCAATGTGGTCGGACAAAAATGGAGGGCATAGCGGCTAACATTTTATGTCAACTATCAATTGATAAGCATTTAAATGTTGTTATAAATAAACCATTTTGTGTGGTAAGTGATGCATCAAATAAAGGAAATATTAAATATTTTCCTATTGTTATTCAATATTTTTGCATTGAAAATGGTATACAAAATTTTATACTCGATTTCTATGAAGATAGTAATGAAACTTCAAATGCTATATACAATAGAATAACCGAATGTATGTCAAAAAATAAATTACAATTAAATCAAATGAAAGCATTTACTGCTGATAATGCTTCAGTAAATTATGGTAAACACCAATCAGTTTATAAAAACTTTATTGACCGAAACAATTACATAATAAAAGCAAATTGTAACTGTCATGTTTTAAATAATACAATAAAATTTGCGATAAATAAATTAAATTTTGATGTCGAAAATTTAGTTTTGAAAATTTACTCACATTTTTCGGTATCAGCTAAACGATTGGAAAGCCTAAAAAGTTGTTATGATTTTTGTGATATTGAATTTGAGAAACTTAAAAAACATGTAACGACAAGATGCTAACATTATATCCAGCAGTTACTAGACTTATAGATCACATCCAACCACTTAAAGCCTACTTCATAGCCTTGGGTACGGATGATTGTCATCAAATTATTTGGGATTTTGTGTGGTCAGACAACTCTAATACAATAACCATTAATGAGCTGTATTTACATTTTTCATCTCATTTAATGAAATTATTTTTTGATAATATTAAGTTATTAGAAAAAAGCGATACCAATGCTACAAATCTATTCGATATTATGAGTAAATTGAAAACACAATTACAAAATAGATTAGATAATAAATTTTTTAGTATTTTTGTTAGAGATAATATAACAAAATTAAATATTAATGATAAAAATGAATTTATTAATAATTGTAAAGTTGTTTACACACGTGCAATTCAATATTTGTGTAATCATTTTGATTTTAATGAATCACCGTATCTTTTATTTTCAAAATTAAATTTGGATCAAAATTTAAATTATGATAATATTGTTAATATAGCAAAAATAATGAATATTGAGATTAATTTTGATGATATTTTTGATGAAATTAATTTATTTAATGTTTATTTAAATAAACTTGATTATAACATCAAGTCATTAAATAATATTAAAATTTATTGTAACATATTTTCAAATATTAATTTACCTAATTTACTTAAAATTATTGAATCAATATTGTGTATACCAATTAGTAATGATTTTGTTGAGCGAACATTCAGTTTAATGAGAAAAGTATTAAGAGATGAGAGATCTCATATGAATTTACAATTAATTAAATCAGAGATTTGTATTAAAACAAATTTTTCATTAAATTGTCAAGAATTTTATGATTATATAAAAGATAATAATGATATACTGAAATCTGTAAAACATTGGAAAAATTAATAAAACATATTTAATTTTATTTAATATCTATAATTATTTATACAGGTTAAAATACAGGTTTGAATAAAATATATACAGGAATATACAGGTTAAATATATAAAAATCTTATGGTTATACAGGATATTAATAAAAATGAGTGGTCAGTCTAGTAATTACTGTTGTATTGTTAAGAAAGAGATAATAAAATAAATATTTTTTATATTAAAAAAATTATTATTATTATTATTATTTATAATTAATAATAATTAATAATAATTAATAATAATAATTGTGTCTATAAAATATATAAATAATTTTAATAATATACCAAATAATGTAAAAACAGTTATAAATATTATGTTTAATCTAAACATAATTGTTGTTTGAATTATTTTTTTATTATACAAAAACAAAATTATTATTATAATTGTTAGCTTATATTAGTAATAATAATAATAAAACAAACTAATAAAATAAGTGAATATTTTATTTTTTAAAAATATCTAATACTGTTTAGTATATGATATTATATTATTTTAAAAATATTTATATAAACGTCAAATGTTGTTATAGAAACATAATTTATTTTTTAAATTTCAATTAAATTATTTATAGTATTTTAACTAATAAATTTATAAGTATTGGTTGAGTTGACACTTAATCATAATTTTTTTTTTTAATTATTTTAAATGATTTTCTAGTAATTTTTGTAGTAATCAGTATACAAGAAGTTTTTATTAATTAATTTTTTTTTWAAAAAAAAGATAATCTATTTATTTTTATAACAAAAATCAATTAGTATTTAATATGTGACGGTTCGGGTCTATGGTTTACCGTCAGAATGCCCATAAAGTAGACTTACGAAGCAATAAGCAATGCGAGGTATATTTCATAGGGAACTGAGAGGTAATTTATAAATGGGATGCTATTTGAACAATATTTATGAGTTCCGGTATATTTGGAAAGCTTATTAATCACGTCACAGTATATATGAATGGCCCATTCGGGGCTCTGATCATTAGTAACTGCGCTTATATATCGGTATTTAGTATCGGAAGTCCTTGAATCGGAACTCGGAATGACTTATCCGGGTTTATATGGAATTATAGCCAAACTATGTTTCACCTAAGGCTTGCACTTACTATTCAAATAAGTGATACAACTGTTTATACTTTGAAGTCCATCCTAGACTAGCTATTGCTAGCCCTGAACTTACTTTTATTAATAATTATAGTGAGATAGTCAATAGATTACATGTATTGCAAATTACAGTATTTTACATAATAATAATTAATTTAATTAATTTACATAATTAATAATAAAGCATAAATCAATTTAAACAAATAAACATAATAATAAGAAATAATAAGTAAATACAAAATTAGTAATAATATGAAATATAATTATATATAACAATGTTTAATTAAAATATATTTTAACTTATAATAGAGAAAATACACAGAGAAATATAAATATGTACAGTAGATATTCTTTATAACATACAAAGTAAYTTTGTATTGCTTTGATGACACTGGAAGCGCTTAAGTGATGTTTAGGCCATCACAAATATTTATGTTGAATTTTAAATTTTACATATGTGATGGTCTATACATCACTTAAGCGCTTCCAAAGACATTAATTAAAATATAAAGTTAACTTTAACATTATAAAATATAAAGTTAACTTTAACATTATAAAAATAATATACTGTATCTCTATGTATTTCTCTATTATATTCTTAAAATACAGTTTAATCAAATTAAGWAATTTGATTATAATTATCTATATTTAATATTATTATCAATTYTATATTAATATMCTATTTATTAATATATTGTTTAATTGTTTAATTAAGATTATAATTTATTATTATTATTATTATTATAAATATGTTTAATTAATTATTATTTTAAATACTGTAATTTGTAATTATCAATAAAAGTGAGCTTAGGCTAGCAATAGCTAGTCTAGGARGGGCTTCAAGTCTCATTTATTTGAATAGTGAKTGAAAGCCTAAKGTGAAKTAGGGTTTRGCTATTATTCTGTTAMCACAGATAAGTCATCCCGAGCTCYGATAGTAGGCTTCCGATACTAAATASCGATATATAAGCGCAGTTACCAATGACCAGAGCCCCGAAAGGGCCATTCATATATACTGTGGCGTAATAGATAAGCTATACAAATATATGTAACCCTTAAATAGTCTTCTAATAGCAATCCGTTCATAAATTACGTCACATGTCCCTATCAAACATACCCCGCATTGCATATTGTTTCGTTTTTTTACTTTACGGGCATTCTGACGGTAAACCTTAGACCCGAACCGTCACATATTAAATACTAATTGATTTTTATTATAAAAATAAATAGATTATCTTTTTTTTAAAAAAAAAATTAATTAATAAAAACTTCTTGTATTCTGATTACTACAAAAATTACTAGAAAATCATTTAAAATAATTAAAAAAAAAATTATGATTAAGTGTCAACTCAACCAATACTTATAAATTTATTAGTTAAAATACTATAAATAATTTAATTGAAATTTAAAAAATAAATTATGTTTCTATAACAACATTTGACGTTTATATAAATATTTTTAAAATAATATAATATCATATACTAAACAGTATTAGATATTTTAAAAAAATAAAACATTCACTTATTTTATTAGTTTGTTTTATTATTATTATTACTAATATAAGCTAACAATTATAATAATAATTTTGTTTTTGTATAATAAAAAAATAATTCAAACAACAATTATGTTTAGATTAAACATAATATTTTTAGTTAGTTATTTTATTACGGGCTATTTTATGACGGTAAACCTTAAACCGAACAGTCACACATAAATTTAAATTTACAACAAAAAAAACTACATAGTATTTTAATAGTACATTAATTCTATTAATAGAAAAAAAGAAATCAAAATTAGTTCAAATTTTATTCATATTTTTAACCATAYAATATTGACACATATATATACTGTATATATAATATTATATATATATATATATATATAGATTTTAATTTAATTTTGACTTTTTCAATTCACTTAAACGTCCTCKAAYATTTCCATATCTATCATATAAAACTTCATCAACTGTTGATTCTGATTCATCGGGAATTTCCTTATATAACTGTATAAAACCATTTTTATGTTTCAATTGTTTATGAATTTGATGAAATTGATTATCAGAAAATGTATAATTAATATTTCTAGTTARTAGTTTTTTAAATTCATCAAATCTAATAGTCGGATCAATATCCAGATCATAAAATGTATATCATTACCAAAACCAATTCTATCATTAACTATAACTTCATAATTTCTAGTATTATTATTATTATTATTATTATTATTATTATTATTATTATTATTATTATTATTATTATTATTTTTATTATTATTATTATTATTATTATAAATATGTTTAATTAATTATTATGTTAAATACTGTAATTTGTAATTATCAATAAAAGTGAGCTTAGGCTAGCAATAGCTAGTCTAGGAGGGGCTTCAAGTCTCATTTATTTGAATAGTGAGTGAAAGCCTAATGTGAATTAGGGTTTGGCTATTATTCTGTTACCACAGATAAGTCATCCCGAGCTCTGATAGTAGGCTTCCGATACTAAATACCGATATATAAGCGCAGTTACCAATGACCAGAGCCCCGAAAGGGCCATTCATATATACTGTGGCGTAATAGATAAGCTATACAAATATATGTAACCCTTAAATAGTCTTCTAATAGCAATCCGTTCATAAATTACGTCACATGTCCCTATCAAACATACCCCGCATTGCATATTGTTTCGTTTTTTTACTTTACGGGCATTCTGACGGTAAACCTTAGACCCGAACCGTCACATATTAAATACTAATTGATTTTTATTATAAAAATAAATAGATTATCTTTTTTTTAAAAAAAAAATTAATTAATAAAAACTTCTTGTATTCTGACTGATTATTGACTACCATTACTACTAGATTTTAGTTTTCTATCTATTATTTGTACGCCATTTTGTTCAGTAGGTTTATCTTCTATTTTTAGGATTTGCCAAAAAAAACTTTGACCAGTAGTTTGTATTTGCTATTCAACTCTAATCCATCCAAGTCTTCATCGTTGTTGTCGTTGTTGTTGTTGTTGTTGTTGTTGTTGTTGTTGTTGTTGTTGTTGTTGTCGTTGTTGTTGTTGTTGTYGTTGTTGTTGTTKTTGCTGACAATGGCATCATTTGTCTGAATATCTAAACCATTGATATTGTTTGTAATTACTGTTTGTAATTAAGAAAAAAGAGAAAATCAATTAAATATTTTTTTTAAAATTATARTTTGAATAATAATTATAATAATAATTGTGTCTAAAAATAATATGAATAATATACCAATCAATGTAAAAACAGTCATAAATATAATGTTTAATCTAAACATAATTGTTGTTTGAATTTTTGTTTTAAACAAAAATATATTATTATTATTATTATTGTTAGCTTAGAATAATAATAAAACAAAATAATAATATAAGTGAATAAATTTTTTTTTATAAAAATATCTAATAATATTTAAAAATACATATATAGACGTCAAATGTTGTTATAGAAACATAATTTTTAAATTAATTAAATTATTTTTATTTTTTTTTCTAAAAATAATATATTRAAAGTATTGGCTGAGTTCCACGTAATCATAATATTTTTTTATAGACCTATACTATTACTACAACTATTAGACTAAAATTGTAAATTATCTATATATAGATAATTTTTTTACTGTTATTACATAATATATAATTAATAAACAAAAAAAAACAGTGGCTCATTAGGTATCGAACCCGARAGGCATTGTACTATTATATATATATATATATGTTTTAAAAACATTGTCCACTGTATAACACTTATAAATATATATAATTAATAAAAATAATAATAAAAAAGAAAACTGAAAAGTTTTATAATTTATCATATATTAAAAAATAGATTATATTAATAAATAAAATTTATTTAAATTCATAAATATTTAGATTTAATGTAAATAAAAAAAATTAAAAAAAAATTGACATATGACATACCATTTAAATAAAAATGTACAAAAAAATCATATTTGATTTTTTWAAAAATAAATGTTTTAGCTCAAATTTTACATATTTTTATACTATTAACATATATATATAWCAACATATATATATATATATTAATCAGTATGACCATATACAYAATTAAATTTTTTGAAAAATAAATAAATAGACTAAATAGTTRAATAATTAATAATTTTTTATTAAATATATATATATTATTAAATCTACATCATATAAATTATTAAATTTWCATCATATATATATATATATATAAATATAAATATWTCATYATTAATAATTTTCGATGGATCCATTATTCTTCAACTTGGCTTCTCCATCTTCTAGCATTTCCTCCAGTATTTTCATTGTCAACATCGACAATCTGTTCAATTAATCTAACTGGTCYATAAWYAGATTGYGWTGACGACGATAATGATGGCAGTTGTGGTTGTGGTAGTGGTWGTGGTGATGTAATTGTTGTTTGCATTGTTTTTATATTTTAACATAAAATCTAAAAGTCTACCTAGATCATARTTGTATTCGCGATATTTATCATAGAATAGTCGATGTTCTTGATCAGTATATAATGGACCATATCTTAAGATTAGTTCTTTGCTAAATTTATCAAAACTAAGACCATTACCAACAACTTTAACATTACTACTACTACTACTACTACTACTACTACTACTACTACTACTACTACTACTACTACTACTACTACCATTATCCGGATTATTACTAGTACTAGGATTATTACCAGTATCAGTTTTACCTCCAGCACCACCAGCAGCTTCTTTTTTAAGTTTAGCTTCATAGTCTAATAGTAGTTGTCTTAATTGTTCCGGGGTAAGACTTAGTACACCATTATTATCATTATTACCATTACCRCCATTTTGTTTTTGAAGATCTAGTAGWATTTTCTGTAAATGTTCTTTTCTAATASTTAGTATATTATCACCATTACCATTATTACCACCATTACCATTATTACCACCATTACCATTATTACCACCATTACCATTATTACCACCATTACCATTACCACCATTACCATTTCCACCATTACCATTTCCACCATTACCATTTCCACCATTACCATTTCCACCATTACCATTTCCACCATTACCATTTCCACTATTACCATTACCACTACCACCAGTWCYACCACCAGTTCCACCATTTTGATTTTGATTTTTAWTGTAATCTTGAAGTAATYTTTGTAGACYGGCTTTYGTAATAGTTATCYGATCATTATTATTATTATTATTATTATTATTATTATTATTATTATTATTATTATTATTATTATTATTATTATTATTATTATTGCTACCACCATTACCGCCGCCATTTTGATTATTATTATTATTATTATTATTATTGTTATAGTTGTTGCCATTACCACTAGATTTTAGTTTTCTATCAATAATTCTAATTATTCTATGTTCGCCATTTTGTTGTTGTTGTTGTGGTAGTTGACGTCGTATTTCTTCTTTTAGGATTTGCGAAAAAACTTTGACCAGTAGTCTGTATTTACTATTCAATTCTATGCCATCCAGTAAGTCATCATTGTTTTTGTTGATGATTTTTGTGACAATCAGCTCTTTTGTATTCCTATTCAAGTGTATGCCATTGATATTGTTTGTAATTACTGTTTATGAGAGAGAGAGAGAGAGAGAGAGAGAGAGAGAGAGAGAGATAGAGAGACAAATATTTTTTTTATTAAAAATTAATAATTCATATTAAAAATTATTAATAATATACCAAACAATGTAAAAACAATTATTAGGATTATGTTTAATCTTAACATAATTGTTGTTATTTTTTTCCTTTATATTTATTTATTAGTTTATAACTTATAATACAAAAAAATACTAATAATTAAATGAATGAAATAAAAACTAAATATTTTTTAAAAAAAATATATATATCTAATATTGTATAATTTATGATATTAATTAAAAAATAATTATTAACGTCAATTAGTTGTTATAGAAATATAAAATTAATTAATTTCAATTAAATTTTTTAATAGATTTTTATATACTATACAACTATAGAAACTATTTGACGGACTTCCACGTAATCATAAAAATTATTTGTTTTTTATTAGTCCTATACTATTACTACAACTATTAGTAGACTAAAAACTTAAATCTATAAAATTTTTCATTATTTTACTTAAATCTTAATAATAAATAATAATTAGTTAACAATAAACAACTATGGCTAATCATGAATCGAACCCGGGGCATCGTATTACTATATATATATATATATATAGTAATACGATGCCCCGGGTTCGATTCATGATGAGCCACTGTATATTTATTATATTATAATATATTTATTTATTTAATATTTATATAATATTATATAATATATATATTTATTATACTATATATGTTTGTGTCTTATCACTTACAAGATAACAATATAATTAACTAATAATAATAATAAATAACATTTATATATATATATATATATTTCTATAATTTATATAACAATAAAATTATTATTTCATTCAATTTTTATAATTTTGTTTTTTCCAAGTTATCAATAGCCCATACACTGTATTTTATATTATATTATATATATTATATGATAGCTATCTGAATATATTTGTCCATTTTATTAACCAATTTGTCCATAATTTTGTCGACCTTTTTATCAATCGTTTCGACAACCATTTTATCAACCATTTTGACCACCATTTTGACGACCATTTTGTCAACCATTTTGTTAACAATTTTGTCAACCATTTCGTCAGCCATTTTGTCAGCCATTTTGTCAGCCATTTTGTCGACAATTTTGTCGACCATTTTGTTTTAAGTAAAGTAATTTTTGTAGATCATCTCTTTTTTTTAATACTTATTTAATTATTATTATTAGATATATATAAATAAAAATTGATTTTTATAACATTAATCTAAACTAAAAAACAATAAAAAATAAGATTTAATAACGAATTTTTTGTTTAATAAAATCAATAATTTATTATATTAAAATTATATATATATATATATAAAATATATATAGTATATATTTCTAAATGTTATTATATATGTGTGTTAATGCCAAATGTGAGATATCCAAAAATTTATTATTTATAATTAATTAGTTTAAATAAAAAATTATTAAGTAATTTATACCAGGTTTTACAGTATTTTTATTTTTTTTAGTTAATTAATGTTTCAGATATTGCTATCTATTAATGAATTTATTTAACTTAAATTAATTAATTATTTTTTAAATGTTAAATATTTAGTTAGTTTATGTAATCAATAAATGTAAAGCTAATTTATTTTTATTATTTTTTTGGAAATTAAAATGTTTTTCATTAATAATAGATAACAATTAAAAATTGTTTTGAAAATTAATTTAATTTTTTAAATCTATTTAATTAAAATAAAAAAAACAAAATTATATATAAATACAGCGTTGTTATAATTATTTTATTGTTTAACATTTAATTTAAATATTAATTATTATTAACCTTATATACAAATAATAATTTTTTTTCTTTGAAAAATTAATTGATTAAAACAAACAACAAAATTAGTAATTAATAAAATCAAATCAAATAAAAAATATTAAATGAAAAATAAAATACTTTTTAATGTTGTTACTATATAAATATTTTTGCATTTTTATAGGGGGTGGGTAAGGGGGGCAAAGTTATACAACATATTGAGATCAATATTTTTTGTTGCCATATTAACCCACCTCTGTATACCCCTTTCACGCCTCTGAGATTGAAACAATTTAGTAAACTTGATATAAATATAYCATTAAATATATATATAATAGTTATAGACTTCAAATGTTATTAGAGAAATTTAAAAAATAAATAATTAAAAAAAAAMATATTTATTTTTTTAGATAAAACATAAAAACTATTGGTCGGACGTCATTATAAAATTTAAAATAAAAAAGATAAATATATTTTTTAAATAGATTTTATTTATTTCATTAATAACATTTATAAACATTTATATATATTTATATATCAATAGATTATTATTGATTATTATTGAAGTTTTTTAACATATACTAAATTATCGCCAACTGTATATGATTGTCCACCATTTTGTCCGCCATTTTGTCTGCCATTTTGTCCGCCATTTTGCTTTTGAATTTGACCATATAGATTTTGTAGTTGGTCCATATTTAGAATACCATTACGTCCACCGGTAGCATTAATAATTTCATAACTATCATCACCACTACCACTACCACCACTATTTTTACCATCATCATCATCATTAGCAGCAGCAGTAGCACCTATATCACCATCATTAGCACGAACATTACCATTATCTTTTTGACCGCCATTTTGACTATCAATTTGTTTAGCTATATTTCCTAGTTGGTGTACTTTTACACGACCATTACCTTCACCGCTAACATTAATAATATGAACCTTATCACTACTACCACCACGATTACCATCACCTAATTGAGCACCATTAGCACCAACATTACCATTATCATTTAGACCATGAACACCATAACCACCACCAACACCAGTAAGACCACCAACACCACCAACACCACCAACACCAACAACACCGGTAATGGTTTCATCTAAAGGTAATGGTAATAGATTTACCACTTTATTATCGCTACCACCATTTTGTTTACTAGAAACTTGCGACTGTATTAATCTATGTAATTGATCCTTGGTAATAGTTATTTCTTTTTTATCATCATCATTATCTTGACCACCACTACTTTGACCGCCATTTTGATTATCTTGGCCACCTAGTAATTTTTTTAGTTGTCCTTTTGTAATAGTTATCAAATTACTATTACTTTTACTGCTACTACCAGAGCCGCTATTTATTATATAACTAGAACTATAAACGTTTCCTTGATTATTATTATTATTATTATTGGCCTTATTATTTCGTTCAACATAATCTACTAGTTGATTAAACTTTTTATCACCAATACCTTCACCACGATTATTATCAACAGCACCACCATCTACTTTTCCATCATCACCAGCCCTAACAGCAGCAGCACCACCACCACCACCACTAACTATACTAGCACCACCATTATTGACTAGATAAGCACCCCAACCACCACCACCGCCACTACCTATATTAGGACCACCATTATTGACTGGATAAGCACCCAAGCCACCAACAACTGTATTACTAGGATTCCAACCACCACCATCACCAGCCCTAATAGTAGCACCACCACCACCACTACCTATATTAGCACCACCATTAATATGAACATTAGCATTACTGACTGGATAAGCACCCCAACCACCAGCACCACCACCAACACTACCTATAGCAGCACCACCATTAGTAAGATAAATGGCACCTCCAACTACAGGTACTTTATCTACAGGTGTTTCTATTATTTGTGTGGTTCTATACACTTTATCATCTTCTTCTATATAATAGATACTGCCATTTTGTTTTCTATTAGATTGTGACTGTAGTAATCTTTCTAAATCGGCCACGGTAATAGTAAATTTTGAATCATCATTATTTTTACCACCACTACCACCATTACCAGTTTTACCGCCATTTTGATTATTATCATGTATTCCTAATAATCTATTTAGTTCTCCTTTTGTCATAGTTATCACTTTATTATTATTATTATCATTATTGTTGTTACCAGTAACGTATGCTACATTATTATTATTATTACTAGTAGTAGTAGTAGTAGTACCACTAGATTTTAGTTTTCTATCTAAACGTTGTCCGCCATTTTGTTTTTTAAGTATTTGCGAAAAAACTTTGACCAGTAGTTTGTATTTTCTATTCAAATCAACGCTATCCTCGTCATCGTTGTTGTTGTTGTTGTTGTTGTTGTTGTTGTTGTTGCTGACAATGGCATCATTTTTCTGAACATCTAAACCATTGATATTGTTTGTAATTACTGTTGTATTGAGAAAAAAAATTTATATTAAAAATAACTATTAATTTATTTTAAAAAAATAATAGTTTGAATAATTTAATAATAATAATAGTTTCTAAAAAAATAATAATAATTATAATAATAATAATAATAATAATATACCAAACAATGTAAAAACAATTAGAAATATTATGTTTAATCTAAACATAATTGTTGTTTGATTTTTTTAGACTTATTTTTTTAGTAATACTAAAATAATAATAATTAAATTATTGAAACAAATACTTAAAGTAAACTAAAAATTATTATTAATTTTTTTTTCAATAAAATATCAAATACTGTTTAGTTTATAATATTATATTAATTAAAAATTTAGTTAATGACATCAAATGTTGTTATGGAAACAACAAAATTAATAATTGATAAAATCAAGTAAAATAAATAATATTTAAAAAAAATCAAATATTGTTTAGTTTTAATAATTATTATATAAAAAGTTTAAGTGTTGCTAAAGGGGTTGGCTAGGGGGGGGGGGTAATCTATACTACACACTGATATCAATATTTTTTTTGGGGGGGGGGTCCTATCCTCTACTAGCTTAAAACCAAATAGTTAGGAGGCCCCACCCCAACAAATAAATATACAAAATAAATATTATACACAAAAAACTAGTTAATTAATTAATATTAATTTTAAAGTTAAATATATGCATTAAAATATTTTTAAAAAATATTAAAACATTAATAAATAAAATATTTTATAAGTTTTCAAGACTTTTTTTACTTTTCTACCCCTCCCTATACCCCACCCCACCATAAGATACGAAAACACTTTAAGCAAACCGGATATATATATATATCTAATAAAACAAAAATAATTTAGACGTCAAATGTCACTATAGAAATGAAAATAAAAATTAATTTTTAAAAATAAGTTTAAATTAGACATAAAAAATAATAAATAAATACTATTAGCAAACTTCCACGTCATTATAAAAAAATTAAAAAATATATTTTATTTTATAGACCTATACTATTATACTGTACTAAACAATAGCTTAAAAATTGACTGCAAAAAAATATACTAATTATTAGACTAAATATTAATAAATATAAGTTAATATTAATTTTTATTTATTTGTAAATATATTTATATAATTAATAAAAGATTATAATAAATAAAAATATTTTTTTTAATATATAAAACAAAAATCAATAAAATCTAGATTTAAATTAACTAAACATATAACACATATACCATATATATATAAACAATAATATATTAATTAAACAATTTATTGATTAATAAATTGTTTTATTATTTTAAAAATATAATATAAGTTTTTATGAATTTATTTTCAAATAAAAAACAATTTCATCTGAAATAATATTCAACAACAAAAAAATAACAGAAATTTATTAATTTAAGAAAAAAAAACAATTTTGTGTATTTTAAACAAAAAATAATTATATTATAAATAAAAAATTTATAAAATTATTTAATTGACCTTAGCTAGTTTAGTTTAGTTTAGCTATTTGTAGATCTGCATCATATTTATTATAATAATGATTGTATAATTTTTTTTAAAAAAATTAATTATTATTAATTTTAACTTTAGTTTTATGTTTTATTAAAACTAGCAACAACATCTAATAGTTGGCCATAGCTTAATGCACTGGTACTGGGATTGCCATTACCACCACCATTGCCATTGCCATTGGTATAGCCATTACCACCACCATTGCCACCACCATTGGTATAGCCATTACCACCACCATTGCCATTACCACCACCATTGCCATTGCCATTACCACCACCATTGCCATTGCCATTGCCATTACCACCACCATTGCCATTGCCATTACCACCACCACCATTACCATTGCCATTACCCACCACCACCATTACCATTGCCATTGGGATAGCCATTACCACCACCATTACCATTGCCATTACCACCACCATTACCATTGCCATTACCACCACCATTACCATTGCCATTACCACCACCATTACCATTGCCATTACCACCACCATTACCATTGCCATTACCACCACCATTACCATTGCCATTACCACCACCATTACCATTGGGATAGCCATTACCACCACCATTGCCACCAAGATTACCGAACAGACCATTCACACCGCCAGTTATGGCTCCAAAAAGACCACCTAACGGTGCGGCTATAATGCCACCCAGACTACCGGCTGCACGTCCCAGTGCTTGACCCGGTTGACCGAGAATACTGCCAAATCCCGAACCTATAGTCTCGCCCAATCGTTGGATACCAATGGCACCGTTTATACCGCCGTTGATTACACCGTTGAGTACATTACCGCCGCCACCGCCGCCATTGTTGCCAAACATTTTTAATAATTTATCTTTTTTATCACCACTTCTTCCTCTTCTTCTTCTTATTCTTCTACTACTACTTTGTCCGCCATTTTCTTCTTCTGGTTGTTGTTGTGGTTGTAGTAGTGGTTGTTGTGGTTGTTGTGGTTGTTGTTGGCTTAGGATTGCCGACAATAGATTGACTATTAGTTTAAGCTTTTTAGCCAACACTACCTCATCCTCGTTGTTGTTGTTGTTGTTGTTGAAAGTGTCATCATTTGCTGTCACAAGTGTTTTACCATTGATTTTGGTTGTAATTACTGTTTAATTAGTAGAAAATAATAATAATTATTATAATAATAAAAAAAATAAAATAATTATAATATATATACCAAATAATGTAATAACAGTTATAAAGATTATGTTTAAGTATAACATAATTATTGTATTTATTTATTTATTTTTTATTTTATAATTTAATTGTTAGCTTATATAATACTAGAATAACAAACAAACAGTTAAAATAATTTAACTAAAAAATAATTAAATGACTGAAACAAACAACAAAAACTAAGTAATTGATAAAATAAAGTAAATAAATGTAATCTAAAAATAAATTAATTTTTTTTTTTATTCATATAAAAAATCAAATATTAATTAGTTTATGTAACTATTAAATAACATTTTTAGGGATGCTATGTAAGGGGAGTATTAGGAGGGGTTAAGCCATATAACTCACTGAGATCTAGATTTTACCCCCGAATCTTAACCCCCATTCCCACACATAAGCTTAAAGCCAAATAGCTAGGAGGGGTACTCCTACCTAATAAATAGCTTATGTATACAAAATAAAGATTTAAAAAATAAAAACAAAATAAAATTAAACAAATAATTAATTAAAATTATTTATAAAACATCAAATATATTCATTAAAAAATATAAATAATAAAAATCAAAAAAATATTACAAACATATGTAGATTTTTGCCATTTTAGTCCCTCTACTCTCTATACCCCTCCACCCCCTGAAATCAAAACCCTGAAATATAAATATATCTTTAAATAAATAAATAAATATAAATATATTTATATATACAGTATATAGTTATAGACGTCAAAAGTTGTTATAGAAATAAAAAATATAATTTWAAAAAAAATTATAATTATTTTTTTTAGAAAAAACATGAAATCTGTTGACTGACTTCCACGTCATTATAAATTTTTTAAAATATTTTTTTTATACTACTAGACAATAGTTTTGAAAAAACCCATCAAATACTTATTTAAACTAACTTTTAATAAATAAAACTTAATTTATAAATTAATTCAAGTAATTTAAATAATTATTAAAGCTTATAGCATATATTTATATAATGTTTAAATATATATAAAACAAAAAATTAAATCTATATTTTAATTAACTAAACATATAATACCAATTATACTATCATAACATTTATATAAATATATAACTATTATGTTAATAAACAATGTATTGATTATATAATAAATTGTTTTATTATTGAACTTTTAATTTTAAAAATGTAATATAAATATAAATAAAAAAAACAATTTCACCAGAAATAATACGGGAGAAAAAAAATTTATTAATTAATTAATTAAAAACAATTTATAAAAAAAAATTTGTTTTGTTTAAAATAAAAATAAAAAGATTAATTAGCATTACATTAATTGATTAGTTGATATATTGAAAATTTTGAAWTTTTKTTTAGAAACATTGTATTTTTATTAACTTTAAATAATAATAATGTATTAACATTTTATTATTAATTATTATTATTATTATTATTATTATTATTATTATTATTATTATTATTGTTATTATTATTTTTATTCATTAGATCTTTAGCAAGTCGTTCAAGTTCTGGAAGGTTTGTTATTTCAAGTCTATTACCACCACTACCACTACCACCAGTTCCTTGTCCTCCTACTCCTCCATTATTTGGTGGACTATTACTTGGATTTTGTGGATTATTACTTGGATTTTGTGGATTATTACTTGGATTTTGTGGATTATTACTTGGATTTTGTKGATTATTAYTTGGATATTGTTGATTATTATTTGGATATTGTTGATTATTATTTGGATATTGTTGATTATTATTTGGATATTGTTGTTGTTGATTATTTTGATAACCATTTCCACCACCACCACCACCTAAACCACCAAACAGTCCATTAGCWGCGTTAGCTAWAGCTCCAAAACCAGCTGTWAATGGTGAGAGTGCTATGCCTACAAGATTACCKCCTATACCGCCCAGTGCTTGACCCGCCGGACCTAAAAMACTGCCAAGTCCCTGACCTAATTGTYSACCYAATTGTGGTGCAGCCAMTCCACCCCTGACACCACCTTCGATTACATTGTTGAGTATATTACCGCCACCGCCGCCRCCATTGTTGCCGAAAATGTTACCAAATTTTAATAACTTATCTTTTTTCGCACCACTTCTTCCTCTTCTTCTTCTTCTTCTTCTTTGTCCACCATTTTCATCACCTGATTGTTGTTGTAGTTGTTGTTGTCTTTGGATTTCCGACAATACTTTGACTATTAGTCTAAACTTGTTATTCAATACAACCTCCTCTGCCTCCACATCATTGTTGTTGTTGTTGTTGTTAGTGTCTCTTATAACTGTAAAACCATTGATTTTGTTTATAATAACTGTTAATAAACATAGAAAAAAAAATTATATATATTTTTTCAATAATAATAATAATAATAAATACTAATTATAATAATTAAATAATAATCAAATATATATATATATATATATATAATATACCAATCAATGTAATAGCTGTTAGAAAAATTAGATTTAATTTTGACATTTTTGTCTCTCAATTWWAATAGTTAGCCTATAATACTAACTAAACTAAACTAAAAAGTTAAAGACAAACTTATAAAATTTTTGAATTTTTTTTTATTAAAATAAAAAAAACCAAACTGATCAATCTACAGTTTAGTTTTATAATATATATATATATATCTTAATAATTTTAAGTAAAATAATATAATGTAAACTATACATGTAAAGTTTCCATAGAAACTAATTATAATTAATTAATTAATTTTATTTTTTTTGTAGGAAATAGCAAATGTTTTTTTTTAAAAAGTAATAAATAATTTTAATGTAAAAAAATTTAATAATTTTTTTTTCGATTAATTAWTAATTAATGAAAAATATTGGCAAACTTCCGCGTCATCATAATATATATATATATTATAAATATAGACCTATACTACTGGACAATAGTTTTGAAACAACTTATTTAAACTAAATTATAATAAATTAAACATAATATATACAGTATAATTGTATTTATTTATAATAATTCAAGTAATTTAAATAATTATAAAAGATTATAACATATATAATATAAAATGATTATTTAGATATTTATATAAAAAAAATAAAATCTATATTTTAATTAAGAGGCTGTTCAATTAGTACGTTCAAACTTTTAAAGAAATATAGACCCCCTCCCTCCCTCCCTCCCTCCCTATGTTCGAATGTAGTCATTTAAAAAAAGTTACATGCTTTTTTACATAACCGCTACCCTCCCCCCACTACAAGAAATTAGTTATTATATTAATGTGATTGTTCTTAGAGTCTACCCCCTCTTCACTTTGACTAACCCCCATCTCCTCAAATGTGAACGTAATATGTGAACCACGCCTTACTAAACATATAATACCAAATACTATTATAACATTTATATATACTGTATATATATAACTATTATATTAATAAACAATCTATTTGTTTTATAAATTGTTTTTATTATTGAACTTTTTATTTAAAAAAAAAAAATTAGAAATTTAAGAAAATAAAATTAAAAAAAACAATTTCATCAGAAATAATTTGCCAGAAAAAAAATTATAAAATTAATATAAAATTTTATTATTTAATTATTAATTAATTATTATAATTATTATTGCCAGTTAGTTCGCCAGCAAGTCTTTTAAGTTCATCAAGGTGTGTTATTTTAGGTCCATTACCGCCATTATTATTACCGACATTGTTATTACCGCCATTGCTACCGCCATTGCTACCGCCATTGCTACCGCCATTGCTACCGCCATTGCTACCGCCATTGCTACCGCCATTGCTACCGCCATTGCTACCGCCATTGTTATAACCGCCATTGTTACCGCCATTGCTACCGCCATTGCTACCGCCATTGCTACCGCCATTGCTACCGCCATTGCTACCGCCATTGCTACCGCCATTGCTACCGCCATTGCTACCGCCATTGCTACCGCCATTGCTACCGCCATTGCTATAACCGCCATTGTTACCGCCATTGCTACCGCCATTGTTATAACCGCCATTGTTACCGCCATTGTTATAACCGCCATTGTTACCGCCATTGTTATAACCGCCATTGTTATAACCGCCATTGTTGCCGCCATTATTACCACCATTGTTATAACCGCCATTGTTATTACCACCATTGTTATAACCGCCATTGTTATTACCACCACCACCACCACCACCAACACCTAATAGACCATTTCCACCACCACCACCACCACCAAGCAGATTAGTAAAACCGCCTAATGCAGCTCCACCTAAAGCAGTAAATGGCGATGCTAAAATTCCTACTCCAGTGCCCAATATATTGCCCACTGCTTGACCCGCCGGACCTAAAGCACTGCCAATTCCCTGACCTATATTCGCACCCAATTGTGGTGCAGCCACTCCACCACTTACACCACCTTGGATTACACCGTTGAGTATATTACCGCCACCGCCGCCACCATTGTTGCCGAAAATGTTACCAAATTTTAATAATTTATCTTTTTTCGCACCACTTCTTCCTCTACCACCACCACCTATTTGTCTACTATTACTACTTTGTCGCCAATTTTCAGATCCTGGTTGTAGTTGTTGTGGAACTGCTTGTGTATGTTGTTCTTGGCTTAGGATTGTCGACAATAGTTTGACTATTATTTTAAACTTTTTAGCCAACACTACCTCCTCTACCGTCTCCTCATCACTGACTGCAGCTCTTTGACCATTGATTTCGTTGATAATAACTGTATTAATGAATTAAATGAAAAAAAATTATTAAATTAAATATTTATTTTTTTTCAATAATCATAATTATAAATAATTAATAAATATTTATATAAATAAATAAATATATATATATATATATACCAAACAATGTTATAGCTGTTAGAAACAATAGATTTATTTTTAACATTTTTTCCCCAAATATTATAGTTAGCCTATAATACTAACTATAAAAAAATAAATAGTTAAAAAAATTTATAAATTTTTTTACTAAAATTAAAAAAAACCAAACTGATTAATCTACAGTTTAGTTTTATAATATATATATATATATCTTAATAATTTTTAGTAAAAAATAATTATTTATTAACTATACATGTAAAGTTTCTATAGAAACCATTTATAATTAATTTGTTTTTAATTTTTTGAAGGAAATAGCAAATGTTTTTTTATAAAAAAAAATTATAGATTATTTTAATGTAAAAAAATTAATGTAAAATTTGATAAATTAATTAAAAATTAAAAAAAAATAATGGCGGATCATAAAATAATTTTTTATAGTCTAGACCTATACTATGCAATTGCTATATTAAAAAAATACTAAAGTTTATTTAACTAAAATTTTTAATTATTTCATTTAATATATCTATTTAATATTGTATAATTTTAAATGTTAAATTTTTAAAAATAAAATAAAATTAATAACATTAAACCAATGATATTGATTAAAGTAGACATTATTATTAAACAATTAGCAAATAATTTGCACAATTAAAACAAAATAAAAACAAAAATATTTTTAAAAACAAAAATAATTTATTCTATTAATTATTT